TTTATTTATTTGAGAGAGAGAGAGAGAGAATGAGAGATAGAAAGCACAAGAGGGAAGAGGGTCAGAGGGAGAAGCAGACTCCCTGCCGAGCAGGGAGCCCGACGTGGGACTCGATCCCGGGACTCCAGGATCATGACCTGAGCCGAAGGCAGTCGCTTAACCAACTGAGCCACCCAGGCGCCCCGAAATTTAACTTTCAAAAAATATGTATTAGGCTTAAAATAGCTGCCTGTCAAGTCTTCCCTCCATACCTAGAAAATTTCTAGAAGGATGACTCCAGAAAAGAGGCTGATCCAGCCTGAAGGACGTACCCACTCCTGTTCGTGGAGAGATTGACAAGCAGTTCAACCCATCAACTAGCAGTTACAGATTTCCCAAGTGAAAGGCCCATGGCGTCATCCGTGTCTCTCACAGTATCAGAATCAGATGGGGTACTGGTAAAAAATGTAGATTCTCCAACCCCTCTCCAGACCCCTTGAATGGGGGTGGGTGGTGGAGTAATCCAGGACTGTGCATTTGTCACAAGAACCCCGGTGATTCTAAGGTATGGTGAAGTTGGGGGACCACTGGTTGTAGACTTCATTTCCCTTTTTCCTAATTCTAATAGTTTTATGGAGCTAATTCACATCCTGTGCATCTCACTCTCTCACAAGGTACAATTTGACAGCTTTTGATGTATTCATAAAGTTGCACAACCATCTCCATGGTCAGTTTCAGAAGATTGCCTTCCCCACTGCGGAAGCCATCCCCACTAGCAGCCACTCCTTATTCTCCCGCTAGCCGCCCCCCACCCCTAGCCCACCACGCATCTACTATCTCTTAAGGATAGATTTTTCTACTCTATAGATTGGTCCCTCAGTCTTTTTATATAAATGGAACCATATGATATGTGGTCTTTTATGACTGGCTTCTTTCACTTAGCATAATCTTTTATTTATTTTTATTTTTTTATTTTTTATTTTTTAAAGATTTTATTTATTTATTTGAGAGAGAGAATGAGAGATAGAGAGCACGAGAGGGAAGAGGGTCAGAGGGAGAAGCAGACTCCCCGCTGAGCAGGGAGCCCGATGTGGGACTCGATCCCGGGACTCCAGGATCATGACCTGAGCTGAAGGCAGTCGCCCAACCAACTGAGCCACCCAGGCACCCTATTTATTTATTTTTATTTTTTAAAGTTTTTTTTTAAATTAAGATTACAATTTACCATCTGACATGGGGCTCGAACTCACGACCCCAAGATCAAGAGTCACATGCTCTACTGACTGAGCCAGCCACGCACCCCTCAGCATAATCTTTTAAAGTTTCATCCATGTTGTAGCATAATTTTTTTGAATACCCAAACAATATTCGATTGTATGGATATGCCATCTTTTATCCATTCATCTGTTGATGGGTATTTGAGTGGTTTCCACTTTCTGGTGACAGTGAATAATACTGCTGTGAACATTCATATACAAGTTTTTTTAAGATTTATTTCAGAGAGAGAGTGAGAGCGGAAGGAGAGGGAGAGAGAGAATCCTAAGCAGACTCCGTGCTGAGCACAGAGCCCAAAGAGAGGCTTGATCTCAGGATCCTGAGATCATGACCCCAACCAAAATCAAGAATCGGGCGCTTAACTGACTGTCACCCAGGCGCCCCTCACTTAAAAGTGTTAATGTGGACATTTGTTTCCAGTTCTTTTGCACATGTACTTGGAGTGGAATTGCTGGGTCATATGGTGACTCTGTGCTTAACATTTTGATGAGCTGCCAGACCGCCAACATGGCTGCGCTGTTGACAAGCCCACCAGCAGTGTTAGAGGCTTCCAGTTTCTCCTCATCCAAACCAACATTTGTTTTGTCTGTTTTTTGTGCGTGTTCCTTTTATTATGTGCATCCTGGTGGTGTGAAGTCGTGTCTTATGGTGGTTTTATTCTGTGTTTCTCTCATGACTAATGCTGTTGAGCATCGCATATGCTCACTGGCCATTTGTATATCTTCTTTGGAGAAAGGCTTATTCGGAGCCTTTGCCCATTTTTAAATTGGGTTATTGGTCTTTTTTTTACTAAGTTGTAAGTGTTCTTTATAAATTCCAGATATAATTCCCTCATCAGAGATATGATTTGCAAAAATTCTTTCCCACTCTGTGGGCTGTCGTTTAACTTTCTGGTTGATGTCCTCTGATTCACAAAAGTTTTAAAATTTGATGGAGTCCAGTTTATCTCTTTCTTCTTTGGTCGCCTGTACTTTCCATGTCATATTGAAGACATCTTTGATTTTAGGTCATGAAGCTTTACTCCTATCTTTTTTTTTTAAAGCGTCTTTTTTAAGATTTTATTTTTTTTTAAAGATTTTATTTATTTATTTGACAGAGAGAGACACAGCAAGAGAGTGAGAACACAAGCAGGGGGAGTGAGAGAGGGAGAAGCAGGCTTCCTGCCGAGCAGGGAGCCCAATGCGGGGCTCAATCCCAGGAGCCTGGGATCATGACCTGAGCTGAAGGCAGACGCTTAACGACTGAGCCACCCAGGCGCCCCTTTCTTTAAGATTTTATTTATTTATTTGAGAGAGAGAGAGAAAAAGTACAGAGGGAGAGTGTGAGGGAGAAGCAGGCTCCCCGCTGAGCAGAGAGCCCGATGTGGGGCTCAATCCCAGGACCCTGGGATCATGACCTGAGCCGGAGGCAGATGCTCAACTGACTGAGCCACCCAGGTGCCCCTAAAGAGTATTTTATTTTATTTTTTAAAGATTTTATTTATTTATTTATTTATTTGAGAGAGAAAGAGAGAGAGAGAAACAGCATGAGAGGGGAGAGGGTCAGAGGGAGAAAGCAGGCTCCCTGCTGAGCCGGGAGCCCAATGTGGGACTCGATCGCAGGACTCTGGGATCATGACCTGAGCCGGAGGCAGTCGCTTAACCGACTGAGCCACCCAGGTGCCCCCCTAAAGAGTATTTTAAAGTTAGTATTTGTATATGGTGTGAGGAGGGGGTCCAGCGCTGCGGGATTTCATCCCCAGACTAGGGGGAGCCCGCAAGCCAGAAAGGTGGGCTGGCTCCGGGAGATGTGCACTGAAGCTGATCTGTGTGTGGATTGGGCAGGACGGCCTGTGCTAGGGCTTCTGCCATAACCTCTTTCTGCCCAGAATGGCTCTTCCAGGGGAGGCTTTGGCATTGTCCTTTCTGAATCTGGTCCCCATGTTCCTCCAGGACTGCTATGTCACCCTGTGGGACAGGATGGGCAGGGCAGGGAAGGACTGCGCTGGGGGAACAGGGGTTGGCTTGTCCCAGGGCTGAACTGGAGGGCCAGGGGCAGGAGAGTTACAGAGACACTGATCCCAGGGGTGCCTTGGTCAGGTGACCCATTACCAGGCAGATTTCCTTGAGGGCTCACCCCCTGGAGGTGGGGGCTCCATGTCTGTCACAGTCCAAGAGGTCTCTGCTTTTATGTCTAGTGGCCAAGGGACTGGGGAGGAGGGCTTGCAGGGGACAAGGCACCCCAAACCCTCTTTGGCATTGTACCCCTGACTTCTCTCATGAATGGGGTCTTAGAAAACTTTGGAAATCGGGGCATGGCCACCTCAAGCCATATGTATTGGGAGGGGTCCCAGGAAACAGAACTGCAAACCGGGTTAGATAAACAGGGTCGGGGGGGGCAGGTAGATGTCTGTGAGCCTTGCCTTTGCCTGGGTCCTGAGATGAGGAGGGGAGATGTCTGCTAAGGATGACGTCTTGTTTCTGGGCTAACACTGTACGCTGACGAAGACCCTGCCATCTGCCCACCACTCAGTCGCGCCCAACAGACAAAAAGGCTACTCCACATTGCCCTGCCGTCGGCCCCTGTCATACGTCCTTTCTGCTTCTCCAGGCCAGAAGCCAGGGAGCCCGGAGTGACTGTGGATTCTCCGGACACCTCTACAGCCCCATCCCCTCCTGGCTGAGGCAGCGCCAGCCCCGCTTCAGGCACAAGGTCACTGCCTTCCTGGGGCCCCGGCATCTCCTGAGTGCTGCGTGGTCCAGGGCCTCCAGCCTGGGATGGGAGACGGATCTAGTTGTGAGTCCAGAGACTCCTGCCTCCCAGAGCCAGGCATCCCCTTTGTGGTCTGCAGAGCACTGGCGGGTGCCCGGCTCGGTCTCCCTGTGACACAGTGTCAGGAGGAAGGCCACTGGGCATTCTGGGAGGGTCTGTGACCTGAGCCCATGTGCCAGGTGCTGGTCCCTGAGGCTTGGTGCTCAGGAAGGCCAGTTACCGTCATCCTGGGCGAGGCACACCAGGTACTGTGTGGGGCGGGCTCTAGATCCCCCTCGACCAGACTCCCAGCCCTGCACTTCGTGGCCATGTTGGCCATCCTGGCGTGCCTCAGTGTCCTCATCTGTACACTGGTTCAATAAGAATGATTGACTTTCTTTTTTTTTTAAAGCATTTTATTTATTTATTTTTAAAGATTTTATTTATTTATTTGACAGAAAGAGAGACAGCGAGAGAGGGAACACAAGCAGGGGGAGTGGGAGAGGGAGAAGCAGGCCTCCCAGCTGAGCAGGGAGCCCAATGTGGGGCTCGATCCCAGGACCCTGAGATCACGACCCAAGCCGAAGGCAGACGCCCAACCGACTGAGCCACCCAGGCGCCCCAAGAATGACCGGCTTTCATAACACGGGGCCACGTTAAATGGGAAACCCCGTGAAGACACGTCCCACTGTGCTCAGCACCTACGGGCCTCTCTTTGTAGAAGCTCACGGTTCTCGGTGCCTCACTGCCTGCACCCCAAAAGCCCCCAGAGAGCCCTGCCTGTGGCACATTTTACAGACAGGAAAGTGGTGTTTGGGGAGGGGAGGTGTCAGACCCCAGCTGCCTGAGAGGATGCAGCCGAGTGGAAGCACTGACCTGGGGTTCCCCAGCTCTGTGCAGGACCCTCCCCAGCCTTTCAGCCCCCTCTGCCTCCACCTCCACCCCACGTCCATTTTCTGAGCCCCAGGCCCAAGGGGGCCTCCACTGATGGGTTTTGCCTCCTTCCTTAGGACGGAGCCCCTGGACTGCCAGGTGTCCGACCAGGGAGGAGGAGGAGGAAGAGAACTCAATCTGCTGGGGCCTGAGTGTGGCCTGGGGGACGGGCCATCGTCCCAGAATGCCCCTGCCGGAGCCCAGCGAGCAGGAGGGTGAGAGTGTGAAGGCTGGCCAGGAGCCGTCCCCGGAGTCCCCTGAGCCAGGCACAGATGTTGTCCCTGCAGCGCCCAGGAAGCCCAGGAAGTTCTCCAAACTGGTCCTGCTGACGGCCTCTAAGGACAGTGCCAAGGTGGCGGGGGCCAAGCGCAAAGGGGTGCACTGCATCATGTCCCTGGGGGTGCCCGGCCCCGCCACCCTCGCCAAAGCCCTCCTCAAGATCCATCCTGAGGCTCAGAGGGCCATCGAGGCACCCCCCCAGGAGCCTGAGCAGAAACGCAGCAAGCTGGACACAGGTGAGGCGCCGGGCGGTCGGAGTGAGCACAGTGTGGTCAAGACCTTCCTGGGGCTGGAAGTCCCCTGACACCCAAGAGCCTGGGGGCCAGAGGCTGGGCTGGCTCTGGACAGTCATGTGCTGTCCACGTTATACCTCGGTGTAGGGCCTGCATGTCTGTAGGCCTCCACGCACACGTGTCTATGTGTGGATTGGCCTGGGAGGGTGAGTGTGTGTGTCCCTCCAGATATATTTGTGTGGGTCCTTGGCCTATTTCTGTCCCTGTCTGTTCTTGTGTGTCTATGTGCTTATGTGTCTGGGGGTCTAGGGGTATATGTTGCTGAGGCCCCAGGCAGGCCCCCCACCCACACCCGGCTTGATGCAGGCGACACTGGCACATGGATGAATTCTCTGAGCGTGGAGTCCTGAGGGGCATTCGAGGGAAGGGATGCCCAGTGGCTGGGGAAAAGATGAGCTGGGTTTCTTCCCAACTGGAAGTGGGGTCTGCTGTACCCTGAGAAGATGGGGACAATAAAAGCCACAACACTTGGCCCCCATTTGCTCCCTGTGAACAGGTGGCCCTTGGAGCCAGCCAGGGCACTTGGCCTGGGCAGTGTAGGGGGCCCCACTCGCTGATGGAAGTGTAGGAGTGAGTGGTCTGAGGTCCAAGGGGAGGGAACTCCACTGCTTCCCCTGGAGCCGAGACACCACGGCACCCGAGATGGGGGGCGTCCCCAGCCACAGGCCTGGAGTTTCAGGGGACCCAAGGGACCCCTCAGCTTCCCTCAACTGCTGGACAGGATCTGCACTCAAAGACTCGGGGGACCCCATCCCCCCAGAGCTTGGAGGCCCCTCTGCGGCATGTCCAGCTCACCCTTGAGTGTTTCTACTGGCCAGTCCCACCCCAAGTGTGCCCTCACGTCTACCTGCTGCCTCCCATCAGTCGAAGGGGTGGACGGTGTGGTCCCCATGACCTGTGAAGAGGCAGGGCTCAAGGAGCTAAGTCACCACTCTGAGGCCACCAGCTGGTCACTGCAGAGGGTGGAGTAGGGAGCATCCGGTCAGAGCCTGTTCTTCTCACGGAGCTGGGTGGGATGGGCCGTCTCCTGGTCCTTCCACCCCGTCTGAGACCTCTGTGCACTTCTCAGATCTGCCTGGGCTCTGGCACCATGTGGGCCCCACCCATCGCAGGTGGCCCCTTGGCGAGAATTAAAACGAAGCCACTTGTCCTCAGATGGAGGGCTGGAGGGCAGAGCAAGGGCTACATCTCAGCCCCACAGGTTCCCCTAGGCAGGTACTCTTGAGCAGTGAGCAACCCCCTCAACCTGCCACCCTGTGTTTACCTCTATACCTGGTCCCCAGACTTTCCCACCTCTTATCCCATCTCAGGCCAGGTGGTGGGGGTAGCAGTGGCTTCCTGGTGCTCAACCCAGATTTAGCCCAAAGTTCCCTGGAAATGACTTTAACAGCCTCTTTGTCCCTGGGCTGGTGGTCTTAGGGAATATGTCTCTGAAATCAGCAATTATTTCTGTAAGTCAGCCAATGGCATCCCAGAACATCCCCTGGCTGGGCTGAGAGCTTCAGGCCCTGGGTTGCCCCCCCTCCCTTTTCCTTTGACACCAGCCTGACCCACTCCCTTCTCTTCCAGCTGGAAAAGAAGATGGAAGGTTGGCAGGGCAGTCTGCCCCCCGTACCGAGGTCGTAGGGGCGGAGCCCACCGCAGATGCCGTCATGCCCAGCACCCTCCTGTAACTCTGACAAGCACGGGTATGCCCTTACTGGGTCAGTGACCTTGGCTGTGACTTCTGCTGGGGACCCAGTTGCAACTGGTTTTCATTCTCAAACATTGTGTAATTTTTTCCAAATCAAGCATAAATTACTTTTATAAACAGAAAAAAAACCCTCAAAAAGAATAAAAGAAGCTGTATGCGAGGTCCTATTATGGACAGGTTTTATAACCTTCCATGGTCCTTTGAGACCCCGCTGCAACCCCACCAGTCCTCCCCGGGCCCTGTCCCAGGACTCAGACCCCTGGCCCCTCAGCCTGGAGAGCCACCACTGGCCTGGAGACTAGGTGGGGTCTCTGAGCTTTCTCCTTCCTGCTGCTTCTGGCCTGAAAGGGGGGTAATGGGACCCCCAGGCTTGAGCCCCTGGGAAGCCTATCCAGCCCCTCCCTGACCATCCCTCCAGGGCCTGTTCCCAGGAGGCTTGCCTCCTCTAGGCATCCCACCAACTGACAGCTTCCCCGCACCCCTCATGGAGGCCTGTGTTCATGGCTGCCCAGAGTTCTGCTGGGGAGGGGGTGGGCCTGCGGCATGGTGGGTGGACCCTGACCGTAGTGTATGATGCCCCTATCATGTTCCTTCTGGGTGTTTTTGGGGCTGAGCTTCCTGGGCACCTGACCCCTCCCCAGGCACCTTGGATGCCGCCCCTGCTGGTGGAGGAAGTGAACAGAACACAGTTACCCCCCCCCGCAAACGGAAGTCAGGGTTCCCTGGAGGCCCCCCCACAGGAAAGGCTTCAGCCTCCAGTTTGCTTTACCTCACGTGGTCCTTGTTTTGTGGAAACTGCCATCGGGCAAAGGAAACAAATGGATTATTTCTAAAATGTTGAGACTAGAGGCCTTATGTTTTTGAACATCATTTTCGCAAATTTAGCTTGCATTATGGACCCCTTTTAGGAAAAGTGAGTTCCTCAGCACCCCTCCTGGCCCAGCTCCATCTCGCTCTGTTTCTCCTTCAGCATGGTTATTACATTTATGTTCTGTAACCATCATTTGAAATATTCCTTTGTCTTAATTTGATATTTAAATAGATTCTGCTCCTCACCACGTTTCTCCTTTTCTGTGGCTCTGCATCATCCCCTTGGTGGGCTGGTGTGGTCCGATGACAGGAACACCCGAGGAGTTGGTGGTGGGGTTCCCCCTGGGAAGCAGAGTGAAGAAGGGGGCGTGAGGAGGACAGGGGGGCCGGCAAGGGGTGACTTGGCGCAGCTCGGCCTGCTGTCCCGGCAGACCCGGCCCCTGGCAGGACATGGTGGGCAGTGGCTCAGGGGCTGGGGGCCTGGAGCCCACAGGGAGGATTCAGGCCGGGGAAGGATTTAGGCAGATGAGGGACACAGTCAGCATCGTTGTACAAAGCCCACAGGCTCCATGAGGGGAACCGACTGGAAAAGTCCAAAGTGGGCTCTGAAAGGCTGGCAAGGAAGCCACCACGGCCTTGGGGGACAGGAGACCGAGGGGAGGTGGGCGGTGCTTCAAGACCTGACACCGGTTCAGTGACAGGTTGTCCCATCGGGGAGGGACAGTGCCAGCAACCAGGAGGAGAATCGCCGTGTTCCTATGAAGAGTGGTTCCCTTGATGTTAGAGCAGAAAATCTTCAGAGGTCACACATTGATGCCAGCGCTGGGTCTCTGCACTCTGTGAGAGGCTGGGTTGGGGAGCTTCATTATAGAATGAAGGGGGCTTTTCCTCAAGAGTCAGGGTATCTGAGAGGCTCTGTCGGCTCAGCTCAGGTCATGTTCTCAGGGTCCTGAGATGGAGCCCCATGTCCCAGCCGTCTGGGCACTGGGCATGGAGTCTGCCTAAGATTCTTTCTCTCCCTCTCCCTCTGCCCCTCCCCGCCCCTTAAAAAAAAAAAAAAAGTAAAGAAGATGACTATACACTTCCTTCAAAACAATTTATTGGTCTTCAAGCTTAAAAAAAAAGATAATTCATGGTCATTGAAATAAATACATACTGATTATGAAAAAGTGTTACAAATATCTCCAGTAATTCTATCATCTAGAGATAAGTCTATAAATTTTTCATATTCAGAAAATTGGGATGATACAGCTCATTTTCTCCTAATCCATGACGAATGACTTTCCAACGCGGTTTTACGGACTGCAGCATGCCACTACGGGCCGGGAGACCATGCATCCGGCTGTCCTGACGCCGGCTGCACCCCGGTCCTCTCCAGCTGCTCTACAAGCCTTTAAGTAGCCCTGGGTTTTCCTGGGACGAAGCTCTAGAAGGGAGACCGCTGCTCACGGGGAGGACCAGCAACTCCCATGCTCCCCGCGGCCCCACGCGTCCTTACCCACCGGTGCTGTCACCGAGAGAATGGTAATCATAATAGCGACAGCAGCAGCACGCTCCGCCTCTCGGGTGAGCACCGCCTCCGCGCCGGCTCCCGGGGTTCCCACCGCCCGCACCCGGGCCGAGGCGGCCGGCGGCCGATAGGGGGAGCCTCCCCAGCAGAAGGAGCGCGCAGCGGCTCCCACCCGCCTTCCGCAGGGGTGGGCGTAGGCGATCCCGCCGCCAGGGTTCCTCCGTAACCACCTGCAGCGCCCCACCCCCGTCGCACGCACCACCTGTAACCGCCCACGCAACGCATTGTTTGTACCCACTGCTTCTCGCCCGGTCCCCCCGACAGAAGCTCTAGCACCCCGGAGCAGGGGTCTTTGTGGATTTGGGTCCCTGATACGTCCCTGTGGATCTGGGGCTGATGGAGAACAGGGAGGGGGGCGCGCCGAGGGGTGCCGGGAGTCGGAGGACCGGCTGGCCCCACGGGACCTGCAGCTGCACCTGCCCGGGAGGGGGGGCACTTCCAGCAGCAGCTTTATGGCAACAGGAGGGAGGCGCAGGGGCGGGGGTGTCAGGACAGCGTGGGGGTTTCTGGAGAGGAGCAGCGTCTTTACTCTGCAAAGGCTGAGGACGCGCAGCCGGAACACTGGGGGCTCCGGCCCGGCGAAGGGGAGCCGGCGGATCGAGGGGTCCTCGCGTGCCTGGGGAGGGTCGCGGTGAGCAAAGGGCCCGGGGCGCCGTGCGGAGTGGAGGCGGGGGCGTCCCCGCACCTGGGGCGGCAGCTGGGCTGATACTGGGGCCGCTCAGGTCGCCGCCCGCCAAGTGTCCAGGAAAGCAGCGCCCAAGCCCGCAGCTCCGAGACCCGCAGCTCCCCGCTGTGGTCCGGGTCCCCACCGCACTAGGTGGTCGGAGAACGACAAGCGTCCAGCGGCTGTGGGCTGTGGGTGCGGCTGGACCGGAGGACGAGGGAGGGACCGTGGGCGAGGGAGGAGACGCCAGGTCTCATGGGATCCTGAGATCACCACCTGAGCCAAAATCAAGAGTCAGCCCCTAACCGACTGAGTTACCAGGCACCCCCCTTTGCCGTTTTATGTTGGCATAATTTCACACCCATAGGAAAGTTGCAAGAAGTGTAAAAGCATTCTTATATGCTCTTCACCCAGATTTCCCAAATGTTAGGAATGAAGCCAGCCACGGGTTAGTATTTATAATAGCTGGATTTAGAACTGCAGTATTCACCAAGAAAAGAACTAAATTGTATAGCTAATCATATAAAATAAGCCTATGACATAGGGGATGTTTACAATGTAGAGTTCAGTGAAAAGCCAGAGACCCACGAAAATAATTGCTGTGCAGTGTTCTCTCAATGACGTAAAATTAAAATATAGATTTGTTCTCAAAAGGATTGAAAAGAGGGGCACCTGGGTGGCTCAGTCTGTTAAGCTCCAGCCTCTTGATTTCCGCTCAGGTCGTGATCTTGGGGGTCGTGAGATCGAGCCCATGTCCTACACCTTACTCAGTGCAGAGTCGGCTTGAGATTCTCTCCCTCTCCCTCTACCCCGCCTCCTGCTCTCGCTCTCTCTCTCTCTCTCACCCCAAACAAAATCTTAAAAAAAAAAAAAGACTGAAAAGAAGATGACACCTAGAAACTGAAGGGACCCAGAACAGCCAAAACCATCCTGAAAAAGAATAAGGTTGGAGAACTCACACTCTGATTTCAAAACTTACTACAAAGGAGCAATAGTCAAGACAGTGTGGTCCTGGTATAAGAAGGGCCATAGACCAATGAAATAAAATGGAGAGTCCAGAAATAAACCCTCTTATTTATGGCCAACTGATTTTCATCGAGGGAGCCAAAACAACTAAATGGGGGAATGATAGTTTCATTCTCAACAAATGGTAGTTGGGGGGGGCGCCTGGGTGGCTCAGTCGTTAAGCGTCTGCCTTTGGCTCATGATCCCGGAGTCCTGGGATCGAGCCCCGCATCGGGCTCCCCGCTCAGTGGGAAAGCCTGCTTCTCCCTCCCCCACTCCCCCTGCTTGTGTTCCCTCTCTGGCTGTGTCTCTCTCTTTCAAATAAATAAATAAATAAATCTTTAAAAAAAAAATGGTACTGGGACCACTACGTGAAAAAGACATCCACATGCAAAAGAATGAAGTTGGAGCCCTACCTCACCCCATATACAAAAAATAACTGAAAACGGGTCTAAGACTCAAATGTAGGAGTTAAAGTATAAAACTCTTAAAATACATACAGAGTGAATCTTTGTGAACTTGGATTAGAGAGTGATTTCTTTATTTTATTTTACTCGCTTATTAGAGAGAGAGAGCACAAGTGAGGGGAGAGGCAGAGGGAGAAGCAGGCTCCCTGCTGAGCAGAGAGCCCCACAAGGGGCTCGATTCTGGGACCCTGGGATCATGACCTGAGCAAAAGGCAGATGCTCAACTGACTGAGCCACCCAGGCACCCCTAGGCAGTGATTTCTTAGATATGACACCAAAAACACAAGAAACAACAACAAAAAATGAAGTTCCATTGTTTTTGCTGTTCAGTTTGGGTGCTGGGGGGGTAAAAATGTAGTGCTTTTAGAATGTGTTGGCTAAATCACAGGGGTGAAAAGTGCAGCCTGGGGAATACAGTGATACTGTAATAACCTTGTGTAGTGACAGGTGTGACCACCCTCATTGTGGTGTGCTGTTGCCTAGTATATAGAATTGTCCAGTCACAATGTTGTACACCATTATGTATGTATTATGACATTAATGTAACATTGTTCGTCAACTAGACTTCAGTAAGAGCAAAGTGTAAAACAAGCAATCAACAGTAAATATGCAAAAGCTGGGCGCCTGAGTGGCTCAGTCCGTTAAGGGTCTGCCTTTGGCTCAGGTTATGATCGCAGGGTCCTGGGATCGAGCCCCGCATTGGGCTCCCTGCCAAGCAGGGAGCTTCTTTCTCTCTCCCTCTGCCCCTCTCCCTGCTCGTGCTCTCTCTCTCTCAAATAAATGAAATCTTTTTAAAAAATTGCAAAAGCAGAGTACCTACTGTGGCGGTTGGTGTCATGGCAGGGGAGGCGTTTAGAAAATTTCTTCCCCTCTTTGACCGAGTTTTAGTTGAAAGGAGTGCAGCTGAAACTGTAACCAAAGGAGGTATTATGCTTCCAGAAAAATCTCAAGGAAAAGTGTTGCAAGCAACAGTAGTAGCTGTTGGATCGGGCTCTAAAGGAAAGGGTGGAGAGATTCATCCAGTTAGTGTGAAAGTTGGAGATAAAGTTCTCCCAGAATATGGAAGCACCAAAGTAGTTCTAGATGACAAGGATTATTTCTTATTTAGAGATGGTGACATTCTCAGAAGGTATGTGGACAGAAATCATTATTTTTTTTTTTAAAGATTTTATTTATTTGACAGAGAGAGACACAGCGAGAGAGGGAACACAAGCAGGGGGAGTGGGAGAGGGAGAAGCAGGCTCCCCACCGAGCAGGGAGCCCGATGCGGGGCTCGATCCCAGGACCCTGGGATCGTGACCTGAGCCGAAGGCAGACGCTTAACGACTGAGCCACCCAGGCACCCCGACAGAAATCATTATTAAAATGGCATGAAGTGAAGCTGCCCATTCCAGTGAAGTTGTGAAATCTTTCATCATGTAATTTTCAAGTCTCTCTTTTATAATAAACTAATGGTATCCAAACTAAAAAAAAAAAAAAAAAAATTGCAAAAGCTTGGGGCACCTGGTTGGCTCAGTCAATTAAGTGTCTCCCTCTGCCCCTCCCCCTACTTGTGTTCTCACTCTCAAGTAAATAAATAAATAAAATCTTAAAAAAAACCCAAAACACAATGAGATACCATTTCATATCGACCCACATGGCTATACTCAGATAATAGCAAGTGTTGACAAGGATGTGGAGAAATTGAAATCCTCATAAGCTGCTCACAGGAATGTGAAATGGTGAGGACCCTGTGGAAAACAGTCTAGCAGTTCCTCAAATGGCTAAACATAGGGTTACCATATGACGGAGCAATTCCACTCCTAGGTGCACACCCCATGGAACTGAAAACATACGGACACACAGAAATCTGGACATGAATGCTCATAGCAGCATGAGTCATAGTAGCCAAAACCTGGAAACAACCCAAATGCTTATCGACAGATTAACGGATATACAAATCGTGGTCTATATATACAATGCAATATTATTTGGCCATTACAAAACCAAAATGCTTCCACAGGCTGCAGCATGGATGAACTCTGAAAACTCCAGGCATGGGGCGCTTGGGTGGCTCAGTCAGTTAAGCATCTGCTTTTAGCTGGGGTCATGACCTCGGGGTCCTGGGAGGGAGCCCCACATGGGGCTCTCTGCTCAGTGGCGAGTCTGCTTCCCCCTCTCCCACTCCCTCTGTGATCTCTCTTCCTCTCTCTCAAATAAATAAATAAAATCTTAAAAAAATAAATTTAAAAAAAGAAAACACCAGGCTAAGTGAAATAAGCCAGACAGAAAACACCACATATCGTATGTTTCCATTTATATGAGTGTCCAGTATAGGCACATCTATACAGATGCATACTTGCCTAGGGTCGTGGGGTGAGGGACTTCACAATGGCTACAGGTTTCTTTCTGGAGTAAAGAAAATGTTCTAAACCTGATTGTGGTGATGTTTGCACATCTTTAGGAATATACTGAAAAACACTGAATTGTACACTTTTTTTTTATTTTTGCAAATCTCTTTAATGTAGGCCTAAAGAAATACTAGAGGTTCTCATATGTGCTTTGGCAATCAACCTGGTACAACATCATGTCATGTCACCTTTGCAATATTCCACAAGGACCTCTAGGAACCCCCCCCCCCCGACTACACTTTGAGAACCATTACCCCTACTGTAAAATTCGTATTTCCCCCTTTGTAATTAATAAGTATCTTTGGGATTATGTAAATACCATTTCCTTGTTAGGTTTTCACCCTCCAACTTTAGTGGCCATTGATGATTTTTGCCCAAATCAGCTATTAATTAGGACGGTTGACAAATGGTGATCATCCTTTCTGCATTTCTTAGTTGACCTTCTACTGTAAGAAAGAGCTTTCCCTTCTCCCCATTTACTTTTTTTTTTTTTTAGAAAAATAGCAAGCAAGTGGGGTTGGGGGTGGGGGGAGTAAGGGGGTGGGGTGGGCGGAAGGGCATAGGGAGAGGGAGAGGGAGAGGGAGAATCTCAAACTGACTCCACACCCAGCAGGGAGCCCACCGGATTAGGGGATGGATCTCACGACCCTGAGATCATGACCCTAGCCAAAACCAAGAGTGAGGCGCTTAGCCAACTGAGCCACGCAGGTGCCCCTACTTATTTATATCAGTATCAACCCGTGGGTTATTTTATTCAAAGTTATAATCCGTTATTACCTTTATTCACTGTGTTTTGCATCTCAAATTGGCCCAGCTTTGGGCTGGAGTCATTTGAAGGTTTTAACAAGGTGTATAAAAAATTTCCTTCTGCTGGCTAAAGAAAGTGACACGTCTAATACGATATTTAAACAAACGCTCTAATACGATATTTAAACAAAAGCGAGCACGGAGTCAAATCCCGGGGGAGGCCCGGAATTAAGCCCTACAACTCCCTAGTCTCAGAACCCCCGCCCAGAATCCCCAGTCCCAGCCGCCTGTCCGGCCGACGCCCCGCCCCCAGACGCCCCCGCCCAATCCTGAGCTTGCCCCGCCCCTTTCGCAAAACCTTGCCCCATATCCCCGCGCCGATTGGTCAGGCCGCCAGCTCGGCGCCGCTCACAGAAGAGCCGGAGAAGCGGAGTTTGCTCAAGGAATGGGGCCCCGCGGCCCTGCTGCGCATGCTCGCTGGGAGCCCGCTTGGGCGTTCCAAGAGGTCCGCTTCCCCGCGGGGTGGCGCGCGCTCCCGGCTAGTGGGGCGGCGCGCGGGCACGGGGCTCGCTCCCGAGAGGGCAGGTGGGGGCTGGGAGCGGGCGCTAGGGTTGTGGTGGCCGGAGGCGCCTGGGCCGCGAGGTCTACGCCTGTGGCTGCGGCGGCCGAGGCCAAAGGACCCGCCGCGGCTCGGTCTCCGGAGAGGGAGGGCTCCGCTGCCGCCGCCGCCCGGCCGGTGCCCGGTGAGCACGGGCCCCAGCGGGCCGGGGAGGGTCCCGGGTCCCACGGCGTGGCCGCGCCCCCGGTCAGGCCTCCCCGAGGGTCCCGAGGGCTGTTGAGGCTGGAAGGGGGGGTGGTGTCACCCAGCTCAGTGTCCCGGCGCTCAGGCCGCTCCTTGTCCTTCACCCGAGACTCGTCTCCTTTCTCCTGGCTCCTCCTTCGCCCCAATCCAGCCGACCCCGGACTGAGCCCTGACACCCCCAGCAAGGGAGCCCCCCGTTCGTCCCCACCCCCCGCCCGGCCGTGTCCGCCGCACCGGCGCTGACCCGCGCTGGCACCCACCCCAGTCCCGTCCCGTCTGCGCGGCTCTGTAGGTCCCAGTGACCTTGCACTTTTTGCTGCTGTTACACCCCTCCTTCCACTTCTGATTACGCAGATTGCCTGTTGTGTCTTTAAAACTTTTGACTCGAGAAATATGTTCTCCATGCATAACTTGTGCCTGTAGATGTAGATTACTGGAAGATAAGTTCAAAGGGAGAAATGACCCTAACCTCTCATGATAACAGCCAGATCTACTCTACCTTTGTTCTGATTCCATTCTGTTCTCTTCTGTTCTTTCCATTCCAAATGACTGTTGCTAACCCATGGAATTGATTTCAGGACCTAATGGTTCTGACCACAGTTTGAAACCCTTGCTTTAACAAACATCCGTCTTTCTCCGCCTTTATGTCTTGCCTTTGGGGGATGCTGAGTTCCAATAATCAGATAATCACGGGTGACCTTCAATTCCATAGAAAAGGTATATTTTTAATATGTTGACATTTCTGCTTCTCAGGGCCAAAATCACTTCAAGGACTTGATTTGAATGTTCTAGTTTGATGCCATCAGATTTATCCTGTTCCTCTTCCAAAAGCTCCTAGTCGGACTTGGAGAAGAGATAGTGTGTGAGGTTGGGGCTGGAGTGTGGAGTGTTTATAACGGAGAGGGAGACGATTTTTACTAGAGAGAGAAATAATTAAAGTTCAGCTTTAGGAAGATTAACTGGTTGGCACTGCGTAGGGAGAATTGGCCCGGCTGGATGCAGATTGGAAAGGCCGCTGAGGAGTAGGTGAGGATCAAAGCCCCAGAGTGCTGTTCAGTGGGAAGGCCATGGGAGGTGGTGTGACCAGGTGTACAGAGAATGAGATTTGAGGACACATGAGGCCTGGTAAGGAAGGAGTAAAAAAAAAAAAAAAAAAAAGCTAAGATTCTGGGGCACTGACTGGCTCAGTGGGTAAAGCATGCCACTCTTGATCTCCAGGTTGTGAGTTTGAGCCCCACGTTGGGCAAAAAAAAAAAAAGGAAAGAATAAAAGCTCAGGTTCTGATCTGGTGACTGAAGGACTTGGGGCTGGGAGGACCTGGAGCTAGAATCTTCCTCTGTGTGCTCTGTGCATCTCTCAGGTGCTCAGGAGCAGGGGTTCCCAGGGGACATACTGCAATATCGATCATTGGGCAGGGGTGTGCTGCATCCAGCAGGCAGAGGCCAGGGATGCTGTTGAACATCCAGCCCCCCTTCCCCAAAATGCCAATGGTGCTGAGGTTGAGAAGCCCTGCTTTAGAACAGTGATTCTTAATCGCCGGGGTGGGGGGGCTCACTGCCACCCTCAACACCGCCCAGGAATGATACCCGTATGCACACAGTGCATGCGTATTTCATAGGAGAGTTCACGAGTCAGTCAGTGCACACCTCTACCCCTCATAGCTCATTAGCGTGTGTGGGAGGGGGATAGCAATTTGGAGTCACCCAGGAGCTTTTTCAAACATCAGGACCCCTGGGTGCGAGAAAGAACTCTTTGTCCTTGTGTGATGATTTACAGTTTGTAGAAGAATTTCACATACAGTATCTCACTTGCCACTTTTCCTGTTTCGCAGGTAAAATCAGTCCAGGGAATCGATGGAATTTGCCCCAAGTGTTGCACGCAGCAAGCTGGCAGTAAGGACCCGGGTACTGGCAGATGGGGATGGCAGTTCTCACTCTCTGTGCGTGAAGGTAATTCTGTTGACCCACCATCAGCTGCCAAGTGAGGCTCAGACTTTGAGGACCTTACCGATTAGATCTTGCCTGAGAGGCACCCGGCAGTTTGTAATACTGTGTGTCTCTTGGGTGTTAGGTTGACACCGAGCCCTTTGTGACCACCTGCACGACAGCAATGTCAGAGTGGGCGGCTGAGTATTGCGCCCAGAATTGCTCTGTGCCTCATTTCTGGGGGAGGGGAGGGGATAAGAGAGTGATGAAGCATAAACCGTGAAGCTTTCGAACTTTCCATTTAAATCTGCCTGATTTAAAAATACTCCAGTCACTCAATAAATCTTTAGTGAGTAAAAATTGAGTATTACAAAGCAAACACAAGGACCCAAGTATTGACCTCAAAGCAATGACCATCCAAAGTAAAAACAAATACATTTAAGTCCACCTACGATAAATAGACATATGTATAACAAATAGACATATGTATAACAAGTGGAAATTTCATAAAATAATACCCAGTTTTATTTCATGCAGTGCAGATTGATGTTTCACATGTAATTTTAAAAATTGCTGACTGGAGCCAGAGATTATAGGACCAATGACCTAGCCAATTAGAAAAGCAGAACCTTAGACCTTAGAAACTTAGATGTAGAATGAACATGTATGGAAGCTTTTACTTAACTCATTGACCAAGGAACCAGAAAGATCTAACAACCAGTTTGCAAGAGAATCCAAAGAAGATTCTAGAAGACTACAGACATTGAAATGTGCACATGGAGGCAAAACTGGTTTTTTCTTCAGGGGGGAGAATTATTTCCATGTACTTATTTACATGGAGAGAGAGTTTATTGCCTACAGCCTAGAATAATTTTGCATTGCTCTCGGTTATCTACACTATGCAGAGTTGTCAAAATGGCTCAAAGACCAGAATCCTGTAACCTGGAAGGATGTGTTCTAAACACTGCATTGTTTCCATTGAGGCGCAAAGGTCCTTTACAGTCTCATAACCTCAATGAAAGATACTTCTGGTCACAAAATAAGGCTGGTCTCATTAGATTTGGCCTGATTGTTTGCATAAGTACGAGCACGTTAATTCACCGTAAAGGCCTTCTTGAGTTTGCTTTGCTGGAAGCCTTCATAAGGAATATCTGGTGGGATTTTTAGAAGTCTGGTATTTGCTATCCCAAGGAATGGAAGCCATGCTCCAGAAGCTCTCTCCACCAGATTTCACTTATACTACTTAGGAGTTTGAGCAAATTCCTGTCTGTATTCTTGAGGGCCCCTGAATAGCTCAAGGTGTGTGAAATGCGATAAATTGTTACAGGATCATCTCAGAAAAGATGAAATCATGACTCTCCTACTGACATAAAATAAACAGATGCTAATGATTTTATTTAACACATTAATGAGGGAGCACATACAATGTGATAGATTAAATGAGATCATGTATATAAAATACTTAATGTGGGGCCTGACACCAAAAAAAAGCCCCTTCAAATCCTTCTTAGGCTCGTCACTTACTGATGGACTGCCTATTTCTCTTTTTTTTTTTTTAAAGATTTTATTTATTTCTTTGACACACAGAGAGATAGAGAACACAAGCAGGGGGAGCGGCAGGCAGAGGGAGAGGGAGAAGCAGGCTTCCTGCCGAGCAGGGAGCCCGATGCGGGGCTCGATCCCAGGACCCTGGGATCATGACCTGAGCCGAAGGCAGACGCTTAACGACTGAGCCACCCAGGCGCCCCGGACTGCCTATTTCTCAAGGGCATCTATTCAGGTGTTTCTCAAAGCACAGTCCTGGTCCACCAGAGCCTTGTGGGGTACTTGCTAAAAATCCAGATTCTTGAATCCCTCTCCAGATCCTCTGTCAGAATTTTAGATGGAAATACAGTCATTTGCATTTTTATCAAGGGCCCGGGGGAATTTTTATGAAGACCAGAATTACACAAACAACTAATTATAATAAAACTTGCATGAAAAATATATTTAACCTCATTATATGGATTCACTCTTTCTATTCTATTTCATTTTTTAAATTCTTTTTCATTTTCTTAAACACTGATCTCAAGAAGGGTTTCTCAGCCTTGGCTCTGTTGGCATTTTAGACCAGATGCTTCTTTAGGGAGTGTTGGAGAAGCTACCCTGGGCACTGTAGGATGTTGAGCAGCATCCTTGGGCCCTACCCACTAGATGCTAGTAGCATGCCCTGCCTTCCCGTGGTGACAACCAAAAATGTCTCTGGACACTGTCAGGTGTTGCCTGGGAAGCAAATCACCTTGACTGACAACCACCAGTCTTAACCCACTCCATTGATACCTATGGTCAGAATCCTTAATGTGAAAAGAACCATTTTTGCTGATTTTAAGAGGTGAGGCCCTGAAGGCAGACACCGGTGTCTTGAATGCGGACTCTGTCTTTATCGGCCTGCTCTTGGTCACAGATTCAGCCTTTGTTCCTCCTCTATGACATGAAAGAACAGTGGACTCTAATTGACGGGGTTATTTGGAAGATAAACTGGAATAGTACGTGCAGAGCCCTTGGGGGGTAGTGCCAGGCACATCGTTGTATTTGGTAAATATTACATATTATGATCACAGTCCTCTAGACTCTCGAGGGTTGTGTCAGTCAGAACCCAGCCAGGAAAACAGAAACTACTTTAAGATTTGAACTGGGAGTTTCCTTGCGATCCCTGGTGGTGGAGGAGCTGAGAGGCCAAACAGGAAATGGTGAGCGAGCCCGAGCCCGAGGGTGGCAGGGACTCGACGCTGCCAGCACAGCCAGGCCGAGCTCCAGGGTGGCAGGCAGGGGTCCTGCAAAGCTGCAGCAGACAGCCCTGGTGAGCCCACGCCAGGCAGGTGGCTTCTGGAACACTCGCCTCACTCCACCCGCCAGTGTCCCACCATGTCTCCCATTGGCCAGATCAGCCGGAAGTCACCCTGGTAAACCATAAAATAGCTGGTTTGTAGGGACACGTCAGTGCAGCTGAAGGCACACTGAGGGCCTGACTGCAGCCCTGAGCATCAGCTTCCTCTGCACCTGGCGCTTCCTACCTCTTCCTGCAGCTGCCCAGGGCACAGGGAGGCACCCCGTTGGCTGCGCACCAGCTGGGCCTGGGTTGGAGTCTTGGCTCTCACTAGCCGTGCAGTCCTGGGCCATTTAAGGCCCCAGAAGTTGAGTGGGGATGATGGTGACACTTGGCAAGGAGGTTGCTGGGTCACTGGACTGGAGGTGTGGGCTGATGCCGGAGGAATTTTGTTCCTGGCTCAGGTCCCAGGTCCCAGGTCCCAGGACGGATGACGAGGCTCTGGACAGGAGGGTATCTCCCTCTCCCTCTCTCTCTCACCCTATACTCAGGAGGTCTCCATCACTTATTTTCTCTGTCAACTCCGATTGTGTCTATAAGTTTGAAATTGGGTTTTCAAGAACTTTTTATTTTGAGTTAATTTTCGACTTTAAAAACATTGCAAAGAGGGGCGCCTGGGTGGCTCAGGCGTTAAGCGTCTGCCTTCGGCTCAGGTCATGATCCCAGAGTCCTGGGATCGAGCCCCGCATCGGGCTCCCTGCTCAGTGGGGAGCCTGCTTCTCCCTCTCCCACTCCCCTGCTTGTGTTCCCTCTCTCGCTGTGTCTCTCCCTGTAAAATAAATAAATAAAATCTTTAAAAAAAAAAAAAACATTGCAAAGATAGGACGAAGAATTCCCACATACCCATCACCCGGTCTCCCCGATTGTCAGCATCTTACCGGATGCTGCGTGGAGATCAAAGCCAGGAAATCACCGTGGGTACGGTTCTCCTCACCTACACTGTTGACCTGACTCGGGTTTCCCCAGCTTGTCCCCAGCGTCCTTTTTCCGTCCCGCCATCCCATGTGGCATTTAGCTGTTGTGTCTCCTCAGCACCCCCCAGTCTGTAACAGGCCCTCAGCCTGCCCTTGTCCTTGATGACCTCAGGAGTTTTGAAGTCTCCTGGTCATTGTTTCGTGGACTGTCCCTCGATGTGGCTTGTCTGATTAAAGTGAGGGTGTGCACCTGGGGCAAGAGTATCACAGAGACGGTGGGGTGTCCTTGGTGCAAGGACATCGTGGTGTTGATGTGTCTTATGACCGGTGAAGTTGACCTCGATCACATAGGGGGGTGTCCGCGGGATTTCCCCACTGTCAAGTTACTGTCTTTCCTTTTGTAGTTAATAAATATCTTGGAGGGAATGTCTGAGGCTATGCAGGTTCCACAACTGGGATTTTTAATAGCCTCAATTTTTGTTCGTTTATCTGTTCTGTCACTTATATTACCCTTTAATTTCTCGTGTGACTTGTCACAGGAGACTTATGATGGAGTTAAAGGACAAATGACCAAGCGAGGAGATGCAGCTTGTCTTTACAGCGTCTCCCTTTCCCCACGGTACAGAGAGTTCATGCACATTGTCCACAATTTCAAGAAAACAAAAGAAATGGAAGGAGAAAATAAATCACTGTTCTTACTACTTTTAACATTTTGAGATATTTCTTCCTAGGTATTTAAGTTGTTTTTTTTGTTTTGTTTTTTTTATTTGGGAGAGCGAGCAAACACAAGCAGGGAGGAGAGGGAGAAGCAGACTCCCTGCTGAGCAAGGAGCCTGACATGACACGGGGCCCGATGGCAGGACCCCGGGATCATGACCTGAGCCGAAGGCCGATGCTTAACCCACTGAACCACCCAGGCGCCCCGTTTGTGTTTTTGTTTTTGTTTTGGGGGGGGTGGTTAGGCCATGAATACATAAAATAAGATTAGTCCGTAACCGACGACTGTGAGCAGAGCCCTCCAGAGGCTGGAGAGGCCTGTGGGCTGAGGGCCAGAGGCCCCGCCAGGTCTGAGCCATACTTGGAGTTGGGTGTTTTTTTTTTGGGAAAACCTTAGCTTAGAAAAGATAGTATTTGCAGACTTTGCTAACTGCATCTGCTGTCTAACTGTTAGGTTTTGTAAATACAAACATTTTTGGAAATCTTCAGTTATTTTTGCTACATGGAAGAACTCTCACATTCTTGTTTTGGAAACGTTTGTGTCAGGCAGTTAATTTTTTACCAAGGATGCAGTGCATTCATCCTAAGGAGCAACACCGCTATCTTGTGGCCTTCGGGAGCATTGCTGCCGAGGATTTAGGTGTGTGTTCCTGCCTGTTCTGGGCCTACCTTACATAATGATTTGGTCCTTTGCAAGGGCTCCATCTGGTCTGCAGGTGAGGGCCTCCCACTGTAAAGAGGGGTGAAATAGGAAACAACGTGTTGAATGCAATGTATGTGCCACAGGAAACAAAATGTCATTCAAGAGCTCTGATCCAAGAACAGAGCAGTGTGAGTGCATCTGGGTGGCAGGATTATGGGCCGTTTACTAGGAATTAGGTTCTTAACAGTTTAAACATATTTGTATATAGTTTTTACAATACAATATTAGCAACTTACACAATATCTTAATATGTAATCCATGCCACCCCTCTTCTTTGATGAGGAAACCAAGCCCAGTAGTGGAAGTCCTGCTTATGGTGTAGAAAACTGGTTTTGGGGGTGCCTGGTGGGCTCAGTCAGTGCAGTGTGAGACTCTTGATCTCAGGGTTGTAAGTTTAAGCCCCACGTTGGGTGTAGAGATGACTTAAAAAAAAAATTCTTAAAAAAAAAAAAAGAAAGAAAAAGAAAACCAGTTTTCATCCAAGTGACCCTGAGGACCTGAGTCCCTATAAGGATTTTTTTAAAAACAGTTTTATTGAGATATGATTTATATACACACAACTCCCCTATCAAAAGTGTGTAACTCAGTGTTTTCCGTGTATTCAGAGTCGAACAACCACAGTCAATTTTACATTTTCATTACCCCAAAAAGAAACCCCACACCCCTTAGCATCACTTCTAAATTTCCCCTGCCTCTCCCCCAGTCCTATACAATCATTCATCTGCTTTCCGTGTCAGTGGATTTGCCCGTTCTGAACATGCCTTATAAATGGAGTCATACAGTATGCTATCTTTTGTGTCTGGCTTCTTTTTTTTTAATATTTTATTTATTCATTTGCGAGAGAGAGAGCACAAGAAGGGTGGAGAGGCAGAGAGAGAGAGGGAGAAGCACACTCCCCATTGAGCCAGGAGCCCGATGTGCGGCTCGATCCCAGGACCTGGAGATCACGACCTGAGCCGAAGGCAGACGCTTAACCAACTGAGCCACCCAGGGGCCCCTGTGCCTGGCTTCTTTCACTGAGCATGATGTTTTCAAGGTTCATCCAGCACGTGCCAGAACATGATTCCTGGTTATGGCCGAATAATATTCCATTGTATGGATGGACCACACATAGGCCAGTGCAGGTGGTTCCAAGGGAGAACGCGGTGTCTGGACGGACCCAGCTGGTGCCAACCCTGCGCGGTGGCCAGACGAGAGAGTGGTCGGTGTCCACAGAGCTGGCGGGCAGCCTGCAGACAGCTGGGCTGAGAAGGAAGGAGTGTGGGCTGTTCTTGCAAAGTTGAACTGTTGAGGGAAGGAGGGGCTTTTGTTAGGTCTTGTTTTTGGACACAGGAGACTGAAAAACCTTGGTGGTCCCAGTGCAAAGAACTGCAGAGGCAGAGCGCTCTGGTGACCAGAGAGAGCAGGACTCGAAGGGTGGAGAAAGGGCCCCAAGGGAGGAGGGCAGCTGTACCAAGGGAACTGGGTGGAGACATGTTTATTTCCAAATCAGGATAAAATATGTATGCCCCCTACATCCAGATAGTGAAGAGTAATAAGAGCTTATGAAGAGATCCATGCTCAGTGGGTAAACTGAAACATAAAATGGTAAAAGCCCACATCATGGAGAGATAACTTTAGTGAGTTTGAAGTCTGCCTTTTTTGAAGAACTTCATTCACCAATGATGTTAGGTAAAAGGAACATTACTACATGTAGGTTGTTACAGATTTGTGTGTGTGTGGTAAAATATATATCACAAAAATTTACAATTTGAATCATTCTAAGTGCACAGCTTGGTGGCATTAAGGACCCTCACACTGGCATGCCACCATCGCCACCATCCACTGCCAGAATGTCATTGTCATCCCAAACTGAAACCACACCCACTAAACAACAGTCCCCCATTCCACACACCCCCATCAGCCCTGCAACACCGCCGACTCTGCCTCTATGAATTTGACAAGTGTAGGGACGTCACATAAGTGGAATCATACAGCATTAGTTTTTTTGTGACTGGTTTATTTTGCATTACGGACTTTTTACTTTTTTAAGATTTTATTTATTTGAGAAAGAGAGTGCATGAGAGAGCACAAGCAGGGGGAGCTGCAGAGGTAGAGGGAGAAGCAGTCTCCTGGCTGAGCAGGGAGACCAATACGGGGCTCCATCCCAGGACTCCGCGCTCATGACCAGACACTTAACCAACTGAGCCACCCAGAAGCCCCCGTTACGGACTTTTTAAGTATTTAATCCTCATTGCTATCCTTTATACTTAATATTTTTGTTCTTCTCACTGAATTAGCAGCCCTTGAAACGTGACCAACTGAGGGATATAACATTTGTGTAGCATGGCACCCGAAGTTCAAAAGCACTTTGATGTGTATCAAAAAAACCCTTGGGGCACCTGGGTGGCTCAGTCGTTAATTAAGCTTATGCCTTCAGCTCAGGTCATGATTCCAGGGTCCTGGGATCAACCCCCGCATCGCATCGGGCTCCCTGCTCAGCGGGAAGCCTGCTTCTCCCTCTCCCACTCCCTCTGCTTCTGTTCCGGCTCTCCTGAGTCTCTGTCAAATAAATAAATAAAAATCTTTAAAAAAAAAAAAGCCCAAACCCACCAGGTTCAGTCACTTGCCAAGAGTATCAGTTACTGCTGAGTAAAAAAAGATCCTGATCTCACTGGCTTAAAATACCGGTTTATTATTGATCAGTGTTCCGTAAGGTGGGTGGTCATTCGTGTGGCCACCATGCAGATTGCACCGGCTGGCTTGGTGTCCTGTGGCCCCTTCATGTGGCTGCACACAGCTGGGGGGTCTGCAAGATGGTTTTCCTCCATGCCTGGCAGTGCCTCCGTGCCCACATGTGGCCTCTCACACAGCTTCCTAACCTGGCAGGCTCAGGGCCATGTCTCCTGAGGGTGAGGACTGCCAACCCCCACAGCATGCTTCTGCCACACTCAGCAAGTCACCCGTCTGGGCTGGAGCCAGTCCAGATTCAAGACCACATTGCAAGGGGCCCTGCATACTTTATGGGAGGATTTGTGGTCATTAGACAGTCTACATTACAAGGTCCGGTAATGGTTGAGAATGGTAACCGTCAATCCAATCCAAATTCTAGGTCATCGCCAGACCCATGCTTTTCCGCAGATGGGGCTGGGGCAGGGGGCGGAGGGGGGGCGGCCATAGTTAGCCTTTTGTTGTGCTGGAATTTCTTCCGTATCCATTGAGGTGCGTGCATCATGGAAGCCTTTTAGGCAGAACTTGTAGTTGAGGGGACCGCACCGTCTCCTGACTCGGGGTACCCATGACTCCGGGTCCGGTTCCCGTGGAATGTGGGGGCTCTTAGTCATGCCAACGCCCTCTGGTTGGGCCCCCGAGGAGGCGGCTTCGGCGTCTGATGGTTTGAGGCTAAGGCCGATGGCGTGTCGGGGTCCCCATAGCCCCGCGCGTGGCGGGGACCCAGGCCCAGGCCTGTAGGAGTGTGCGTGCTGTGTGGACAGTGACCGCAGCGCTTCGGCTGGCCCGAGTTGTCTGAGGCATCCCCCCCACCGCAGCGCCCTTGACCCCGCAGGCTGGAGGCCGATGGGACGGCAGGAGCGCGCCAGCCGCGGGGGGACCCGGAGTGCGGGGACAGAGGGCTGCAGCCGGGGGCGGGCTGCCGGCTGAGGGATGGGCGCCGGGGCCAATCGGCGAGGGGGGGGGCGGGGCCTCCCACCGGCTCCCTTTTCCGCCCAGACAGCTCCTCCCGGAGGCACGCACCGGGTCTCACCGCGGCTGGTCCCCAGGGGCCCGCGTGTCCCTGCCCCGCCTCGTCGCGGTGTGGGGCGGGATGGGCAGGGCAGAGAAGGGCCGCATGGGAGGAGCGAGGGTTGGCTCATCCAGGGGCATGACCCGGGAGGGCAGGCCAGCCGGGACTCTCAATCAGGTGGCCTGTTACCTGGAAGATTTCCTTGAGTCTCACCACCACCCCCCACCCCAACTCCTCCAGGATGGGCTTCCCTGCTGCCCTGGGATGAGCAGGCGTATACTGCGGGATGGGGCGGGGATGAGGCGCCCCTCTGAGTCTTCAGCCTTGGCTCTGTCTTAGTGGGGACACTGGGGCCCTGCCATTAGGCTGACCGGGCTTTGGGGAGCTGAATCTGGGCCCCAAACCAGGGAACTTCAGAGCAAGAATGCATTGGAATTGCAGAACTTGGAAACGAAGGTGACAGCTCACAAATGGGGAGCTGAAATGTGCAGGGTGGCTGTGGTCTTGCTTCTGGGCTCTTAAGGAGAGGTGGGGGAAACCCAGCCATTCACCCACCACCCAGGCCCTCAAGAAAGCAAAATGTTCACCCCACACTGATACCCAGGTCCCCATCTCCAGGCTAGCTCTACCCCGATAATACGTCCTTTCTGCTTCTCCAGGCCAGAAGCCAGGGAGCCCGGAGTGACTGTGGATTCTCCGGACACCTCTACAGCCCCATCCCCTCCTGGCTGAGGCAGCGCCAGCCCCGCTTCAGGCACAAGGTCACTGCCTTCTTGGGGCCCCGGCATCTCCTGAGTGCTGCATGGTCCAGGGCTTCCAGCCTGGGATGGGAGACGGATCTAGTTGTGAGTCCAGAGACTCCTGCCTCCCAGAGCCAGGCATCCCCTTTGTGGTCTGCAGAGCACTGGCGGGTGCCCGGCTCGGTCTCCCTGTGACACAGTGTCAGGAGGAAGGCCACCGGGCATTCTGGGAGGGTCTGTGACCTGAGCCCATATGCCAAGTGCTGGTCTCTGAGGCTTGGTGCTCAGGAAGGCCAGTTACCGTCATCCTGGGCGAGGCACACCAGGTACTGTGTGGGGCAGGCTCTGGATCGCCCTCGACCAGACTCCCAGCCCAGCACTTCGTGGCCATGTTGGCCATCCTGGCGTGCCTCAGTGTTCTCATCTGTACACTGGGTGATCGACTTTCATAACACAGGACCAAGTTAAATGGGAAACCCCGTGAAGACACGTCCCACTGTGCTCAGCACCTACGGGCCTCTCTTTGTAGAAGCTCACGGTTCTCGGTGCCTCACTGCCTGCACCCCAAAAGCCCCCAGAGAGCCCTGCCTGTGGCACATTTTACAGATAGGAAAGTGGCGTTTGGGGAGGGGAGGTGACAGACCCCAGCTGCCTGAGAGGATGCAGCCGAGTGGAAGCGCCGACCCAGGGTTCCCCAGCTCCGTGCGGGACCCTCCCCAGCCTTTCAGCCCCCTCTGCCTCCACCTCCACCCCACGTCCATTTTCTGAGCCCCAGGCCCAAGGGGGCCTCCATTGATGGGTTTTGCCTCCTTCCTTAGGACGGAGCCCCTGGACTGCCAGGTGTCCGACCAGGGAGGAGGAGGAGGAAGAGAACTCCATCTGCTGGGGCCTGAGTGTGGCCTGGGGGACGGGCCATCGTCCCAGAATGCCCCTGCCGGAGCCCAGCGAGCAGGAGGGCGAGAGTGTGAAGGCTGGCCAGGAGCCGTCCCCGGAGTCCCCTGAGCCAGGCACAGATGTCATCCTTGCAGTCCCCACAAAGCCCAAAGAGTTCTCCAAACTGGTCCTGCTGACGGCTTCCACGGAGAATGTGGATGGGGTGGACTCCCAGCCCAAAGGAGGGCGCTGTGTCATGTCCCTGGAGATGTCTGGTCCTGACACACTGGCCAGGACCCCCCAGATCCTGCCAGTGGAGGAGCAAGTGGGGGCAGTCCAGCCAACCCCCCAGGTCCCTGAGCAGACATGCAGCAAGCCAGATACAGGTGGGTTCCAGGCCTACTGCTCCTGGCCCAGGCCCCTTTGTGGCCCTGCATGCTCAGACATAGGCCCTGTACACCCCCTTTCTAGGGGGTGGCCTTGGGGTCCCATCTCTGCTTGGAGCTAAGCATCCTTGTCTCTAATCAGGACTCTGCCTCGGGCTGGTGTGATGATCTCAGGATGTCATCCCTGTGCATCCCCCATTGCTCTCATCCATGCCCTTGGCCTCCAGCCTTGCTCTGTTCCAGCTGACCCAGCCCTCTCTTGTCCTCAGCAGCTCCCAAGCCCCTGGAGTTCCTGAGGACCCCTTTCGGGGGCCGCCTCCTGGTGCTCGAGTGCTTCCTGTACAAGCAGGAGAAGGCGGTGGGCGACAAGGTCTACTGGAAGTGCCGTGAGCACTGTGAGCTGGGCTGCCGGGGCCGGGCCATCACCCGAGGCCCACGGGCCACAGTGATGCGGGGCCACTGCCACCCGCCGGACGAGGAGGGCCTGGAGGCACGGCGCCGGAGACAGAAACTGCCCGGCCCAGCCCTGCCTGAAGGCTTGGGGGTTCCAGAGGGCCCTCGGGGCCGAGTGGAAGAGCCGCTGGAAGGGGTGGGCCCATGGCTGTGCCCTGAGGAGCCAGAGCCCACCCCTGGGTTGGTGCTGAGCAAACCGGCTGCAGAGGAGGATGAGGGGCTGCGAGCCCTGTCACTGCTGAGCTTGCCCCCCAAAAAACGCCCAAAACTGGGGATCGGTGAGTGCCCTGCACCTGGGCTCCACTCTGGGGCAAGTGGGAACCCATGGGTCCTTACCTGTGCCCAGATGGAAACGTGGGGTCCCACATGGTTTGTAATGTGCTCCAAGTCAACATGGCTAAAAGATAGAAACCTGTCCCAGAAATCATCAAGCCCGGGGGATAGAACTAGTGCTCTAAAACCAAGGGCTCAAGTCCTTCTGGAACTTTCTGATGCAGCAGGGTCTGGTGTGAGGCCCAGAAACCCGAGTTTTAACAGGGCCAGGTGGTCCTGGTAGCCTGTGAGGTTAAGGGAGGTTGGCCTAGGGGAGAGCTTTGGACCAGGTTCAAATCACAGCCCCACCTGGTTTCAGTACAGGTGCTGAACCTCTGGGGTTTTGGGAACTTTGTCCGGGATGGGTGATCACTCAGATGCCAGGGAGATTAGATGCTCGATGTGCGGGAGGCACCCAGCGCCAGTCCCACGTGTGGTGACACTGAGTGCCCAGTAGCTGGGGTCTTCTTGGTGGCTTTTATTACCAGCAAGTGGGAGGTGGGCTTGGTCCCAGGGGTTGGCTCCCTTCTGACCCAGATTCGAGGGTTTAAGGATTTAGGGCAGTTGCTGTGCTGGGTACTAGGTGTGGGGGGGGAACACTTGTTTTTTACTGTCTATCTTTTGCCACCATTTGAATTTTATGACGTGTGCATGTGCTATTCAAAAATTAAATAAAAGTTTCAAGCAAGCCCTAAAAAAGAGTATGGCCAGGAGTGACTGAACACATAGGCTAGGATGTCAAAGCCAGCTCTGTCCTTCTCGGGTGTGCGACCTTGGATGTGACGTGTAACCACCGTGAGCCGTGGCCTCCCCACTGACCTCCAGGAGAGGAACTGCACCTTCTCCCTGGTGCACTGGGTGGGGGCTTGGTGGGAATGCATGCGGGGCCCGCACACGCCCAGCTCGGGGGAAGCCACAGTCAGTGTCCACATAAAGGGGAAAAGCCCTTGGCCCCCCACGCCTCCCCAGCCTCCTCTCCTCGGCCTGCCATGACTGCCCTGGGTTCCTCCTCCAGGAGAACCCCGGCCCTTGGAGTTCCTGAGGACGTGCTATGGGGGCAGCTTCCTGGTGCACCAGTCCTTCCTGTACAAGCGGGAGAAGGCCGTGGGGGACAAGGTTTACTGGACATGCCGGGACCATGCACTGCACAGCTGCCGCAGCCGGGCCATCACCCAGGGCCAGCGGGTGACCGTGATGCGGGGCCACTGCCACCCGCCTGATGTGGAGGGCCTGGAAGCCCGGCGGCAGCAGGAGAAAGCCGTGGAAACGCTGCAGGCCAGGCCTGGTGGGCCTGGGGGCCAAGTGGACAAGCTGCTCCAAGGCGTGGACAGCCTGCTGTACCGCAGGGGGCCGGGGACTCTGACTCTCACCAGAGCCCGGCCTAGGAAGCACGCAAAAGTCCTTCCGGCCCAGCCCCAGGCCCCGCAGGGATCCCCCACTGAGGACCCGGACGAGGCCCCCGGTGAGTCCTTCACAGCACTGGCCCAGAGCTGGGGCCCCTCAAGTCTTGCTTCCTCAGGTCCAGGGAGGTAGGAGGGGATCCCGAGACCCTGAATTCCCACTTCCCTCCCCCACCCACCTCTCCCGTTTCTCCCCAGGAGGCCCTGAGTTCCTGAGGACCCCTCTGGGGGGCAGCTTCCTGGTGTACGAGTCCTTCCTCTACAGGAGGGAGAAGGCGGCCGGGGAGAAGGTGTACTGGACGTGCCGGGACCAGGCCCGCATGGGCTGCCGCAGCCGGGCCATCACGCAGGGCCAGCGGGTGATGGTGATGCGCAGGCACTGCCACCCGCCCGACCTGGGGGGCCTGGAGGCCCTGAGGCAGCGGGAGCAGCTCCCCAGCCCGGCCCAGAGGGAAGGCTCAGGTGCGGGTGAGAGGACGTGGAGCGGGGCGGGTGCTCGGCCCTGGTCTCCCTGCTGGGACCTTCTGTCCGCGGCCCCGTGCCTGGTGGGGTCTAGCCACCCATGTGTGGTAGGCTGTCTGCCCACAGCGTGAGCTCCCTAAAGGCAGGGCCGCATGTGGGCTCCACACCCGTGGCCAGTGCTAGTCTGGGATTGGCTGGCAGCAGAGAGAAACCCATCAGACAGCTGCAGGTTAGGGGTGGGGTGGCATGGTCCGCTACAGGAAGTGCTCAGCCCCCGTTTACGGGGCAGTGAGCCCGGACCTCGGGGACCCTCTGTCTCCCCTCTCTAGGCCCTCGTGTTTGGATTCCTCCCTCCCCCTCCCGGTTCTCTTTAGCCACCCGAACCCCAACATTACATGACCTTTCAGTTCAGGGTCTTAAAAGCCTCAAGAGAGATTTGATTGGTTGTCAGCTGGCTGAGGAGACGGTGGACACCGAGCCAGGAGGCTCCTGGTGCCTGGCCCCAACCAGCCAGGGGCCCTGCTGAATGTTCCACCCCCGCCTTTGACTGGGGTGCTCGCCAGCAAGTGTGGAATCCAAGCCGGGTCAGGAGAGGCCTTCAGGAAAGCAGGGCCAGCCTCCGGGGCAGCACCAGAGCCCTGAGAAGGAGACAGCCAGTCTGTCCTCGAGGGTGCCGGGCCGTGGGCCCTGGGTGGCAATCCGAGCTGCAGTCCTCGGGGCCCCACAGCACGGGCTGCCGTGGAGGCAGAGAGCAGAGTGGGTTCTGTGGGAGGATTGCGGTTTCCTGGGGCAGGCTGCAGGCACAAAGGAAACAGCCCCTGTCCCTGGCGCCCAGGTTCTGCACCCTGCTTCCAAGCTGCCCCATTCACACTGCCACATTCCTTCCAGGAACCCTCCGGCCTCTGGAGTTCCTGAGGACGTCCCTTGGGGGCAGGTTCCTGGTGTACGAGTCCTTCCTCTACAGGAAGGAGAAGGCAGCTGGGGAGAAGGTGTACTGGATGTGCCGGGACCAGGCCCGGCTGGGCTGCCGCAGCCGGGCCATCACACAGGGCCAGCTGGTGACGGTGATGCGTAGCCACTGCCACCCGCCCGACCTGGCAGGCCTGGAGGCCCTGAGGCAGCGGGAGAGGCTCCCCAGCGTGGCCCAGCAGGAGGACCCAGGTGCAGATGGGGATGGGGGTCAGAGGTGGGAGTACAAAACAGCTGTGGGCCTCTCGACTGACTCTCCCAGCCTAAGTTTCAGACACCTCAGGGGACAGGCACCATCTGAGGAGCTTTGTGCCCTGGCCTTTCCAGAGTCTTCTACCTATCCTGGCTACTGGCGCCTTCTCTGGAACCTGAAAACACCCCTAGATCCATCCCATTCTCAAAATGACTCCCCTTCTAGTTCATTTCCTCTCCTTTCCTTTATCCTAGGAGGTCTTAACTGGTTACAGATCAGTCTCTTGAAAATCAGATGAAAAAACAGAGACTGCTCCAGAAGAGCATGCTAATGTTTGTGTGTACGCACACACACGCACACGTGCACAATGCACACACTCATACATGCATCAGCATGCACACGTGCACAATGCACACATACATGCACACACGTGCACAATGCACACACTCATACATGCACCAGCATGCACACACGTGCACAATGCACACACTCATACATGCACGTGCATACATGCATATACACATGCACACGTGCACATCACCTTACACTTGTGAGATTTTGCCAAGAATTAATTTTATTGAACTGAAAATGGATTCCCTTCACATAGACAGAATAGAAAACTAGTTGTTAGGAAGCATTTTTGTGTTTCATATTAATTCATGTGAATAATAAGGTCCATATCTTATAAAATATGAAAATGAATCCAAATTGTATAAAACAACCAAAAGACGATTTCTGCTCGAAAAAAATGGAGGCTTCTGGGAAAAAGCCACTGTTTGGCATCAATAAGAAACAGAAGTCGGGCGCCTGGGTGGCTCAGTTGGTTGGGCGACTGCCTTTGGCTCAGGTCATGATCCTGGAGTCCCGGGATCGAGTCCTGCATCGGGCTCCCTGCTCGGCGGGGAGCCTGCTTCTCCCTCTCCCTCTGCTGCTCCCCCGGCTCGTGCTCTCCCTCTCTGTCAAATAAATAATCTTTTTTAAAAAAGATTTTTTAATATCTTTAAAAGATTATTTGAGAGAGAGTGAGCGAGAGAGAAGGGGGGTGGGGGGGTGGGCAGAGGGAGAAGCAGACCCCCACTGAACAGGGAATCTGACATGGGGCTTGATTCCCCCAACTCCAGGATCATGACTTGAGCTGAAGGCAGCAGCTGCTTAACTGACTGAGCCACCCAGGCGCCCCAGTAAATAATCTTAAAAAAAAAAAAAAAAAGCAATAGGAGTTGTGGGACGCCTGTGGCACAGTCGAGGCCACCTCAGTTTGGTGTCTCATTCAGTCCTGCTCTGCTGAAGGACGGGCTGAACGATGACTCTTGGGGTCCCAAATAGCTTCTTTCACCAGGCACAGGTAGTTGAGGGCATTCGAAAACCGGAATTCCCAATGAGTGCCCAAATCAGAGTCATTCTACCCGGTTTTCTTTATCCTCAAGGCCTTAAGGTCATCGTTACAAAGTGTGTATCTTTGGCTCTAGCAGCTTCAAGAAGAATTAATGGGGCGCCTGCCCTGCTCAGTCAGAGGAGTGTGTGACTCTTGATCTCGGGGTTGTGAGTTCGAGCCCCACGTTGGGTGTAGAGATTACTTAAAAAGAAAAAAGGGGGGCACCTGAGTGGCTCAGTCTTGGTTAAGTGTCTGACTCTTGATCTCAGCTCAGGTCTTGATCTCAGGGTTGTGAGTTCAGGCCCCATGTTGGGCTCCACCCTGAGCATGGAGCCTACTTAAAAAAATAATAAAAAAGAAAAGAGAATCTTAAACAAGAAAAGAATCATTAATCCATGTTTTCAATTTTCTTTCCTCAGAGAAGATGAAACTTCCGCCGGAAGCGCAGGTGTGCATCCAGCCTGGCTCTCCGGAAAGCCAGCAGATGTGTGGGTAATTGTGAGTTGTCGCGCGCACACGTCACCCCAACACGTAGTGGCTTATGGCGGCAAACACTATCTCTCACGGTGTCTGTGGGCAAGATGTCAGGAGTGGTTGGGCTGCTGGTTCTGGCTCAGGGTCTCTCCTGAGGTTGGAGGAAGGACAGGGGCCAGGGCTGCGGTCACCTGAAGGCCTGCGTGGGCTGAGGAGCCCCGTCCACGGTGCCTCGCTCGCTCGCACGGCCATGGGCTGCGGGCCTCAGCTCCTCGCTGTGTGGACCACTCCTCCAACATGACAGCTCTCGCCGCCCCAGACGAGGGGCCCGAGGGGGAGGGCAGAGCGAGGGGGAGGCCACCAGCAAGATCAGTTGGTATTCTCCCCAAGCGCACGTGGGGCACTCGCCGGGATAGACGGAACGTGGGCCCCGAGACAAGGCTCATCCAACAACAAGGACTGAAATCACACAAAGTACGTTATCTGTTCACAGCGGAATGAAGCCAGAAATCAGCAACACAAAGAAAGTTGGGGAACTTTTAAGTATCTGACAGTCAACACACTCCTGAGTGACTTGAAGATATCCCGAGGCAAGTGGAAAATGGTCTGAAGTGAGCGAAATGAGACATGGCACACGAAGACACGTGAGCGGTGGTAGAGCAGTGCTTGAAGGGCAACTTGTAGCTGGAAAGACTTACATTAAAGAAGAAGAAAGATCTCAGATCAGCAACTTACACTTCCATGTCAGGACACTAGGAAAAGAATAATGGAGCAATCCTAAAGCAGGAGGACGATGAGAAAGAACAGAAATGAATGAAATAGAGAAGAGAAAATGAACGAGACCAAAAGTTGGTTCTTTGAAAGAATCAACAAAATTGACAAACCTTTAACTACATCGCCCCCAAAATTGGTTTTTATTTCTTTATTAAATTAATTTTATTTTTTTCAAAATCGGTTGGTAAAGATAGGGAAGACTCAGGGGCGCCTGGCTGGCTCAGTCAGAGGAGCGTGTGACTCTTGATCTCGGGGTCTTGAGTTTGAGCCCCACGTTGGGTGTAGAGATTACTTAAAAAAATATATCATTATTTATTTTTTTAAAGATTTTATTTATTCAGGGGTGCCTGGGTGGCTCAGTCGGTTAAGTGTCTGCCTTCACCCAGGGTCCTGGGCTCGCCCTGCATCGGGCTCCCTACTCAGCGGGGAGCCTGCTTCTCACTCTCCCTCTGCTGCTCCCCCTGCTTGTGCTCTCTCTCTCGCTCTCTCTGTCAAATAAATAATAAAATCTTTAAAAAAGATGTGGGGCTCGATCCCAAGACCCTGGATCATGACCTGAGCCAAAGGCAGATGCTTAACCGACTGAGCCACCCAGGCAGCCCCCCCAAATAAAATCTTTAAATAAAGAGAGGGAAGACTCAAATTATTAAAATCAAGAATGAAAAATGGGGCATTACTGCCTACCCCACAGGAAAAACTACACACGCACAGAAGGGTCTTAAGGGACGCTATGAGCCGCAGCGTGCCAGGAAACCGGGTGCCCAAGATGAAGTGAAAACTTTCCTAGAAAGGCGAGCTACCAAGGCCGAATCAAAAAGAAATAAAATCTGAATAGACCTGTAACAGGTACAGAGACTGAATTAGTCATTTTAAAACTTCCCACCAAGAAAGGCCCCTGGGGCCTGGATGGCGTCCCTGGTGCCCTCTACCAAACACTCAGCCAAGAATTAGCACCAGCCCTTCACAATCTCTCCCCCAAAGTAGAAAAGGAGGGAGAGGACTTTCGGGGAGAGTGGAAACATCCTCCAAGTGGTTGTGGGGATGGGCCCATGGGTATGGATACACCAACCCCGTGGAGTCCCACCCTGATGTGGCGAGCCGCGTGGCGTGGGAAGGACAGCTCAGTAAAGCTGTCTAAAAAAACCAGGAAGGAAGCGACAGTGACTCTCTGAACAGTCTCTCACCCTGCCACTCCTGCTTTACTCTGTTCCTTGGAAGCCCGTTAGCACATGCAGCCCCGGCACAAGGGGAGGGGAATCAGGCTCCTTCCCTCCGGCCCGTCCCACATCCCCTGTGGGAGAGCGAAGAATTGTGGACATTTCCCAAACCCCTCACAGTAATCCAAGAGAACTTTTCCTTTCTCGACAAAGAATCTTCCGGAGCGGGAGGCGGGACCTCTCAGGAGTGTGGGTCTGCTCCCAGGACACGCTAGTGTAGAAAGCCAGGCACCCCCAGAGTGCATGTTATGGGGCAACTTCCCCTTTTAAAGGAAATGGTGAAATGTGCGTTTGCGAACGTGTATAAAAACGACCTAGCTGACCGTCATCTCTAGGGAAAAGGAAACCCTCTATGTTGCCTACTTCTGCCGTGTTTGGATTTGTATAATGAATATGTGTTTCTTTGTAATCAGGAAGGTGGAAGGTACAAAACGGGACAGCGAGTCCCCGTGAGGCCAATCTCCTCCCAACTCGAGCAGACGGACCTCGTGTGTTGCCAGCGTCAAGGGCACGCCGAGTGCGCCCGGGCCCCTGGCCTTTCCCACCCGGTTAGACCTTGCTTCACACAAACTCTCTTCCACCCTTCTGCAGTGCTGGTGGCCTTCACGTTTCCTCGAGGGTCTCCCAGGAGCCCTGCTTTGGTGGTGTCTCCGAGCGGGCAAACAAGAGTGCCAGGAGCTGGCGGCTTGCAGGTGTGCGTGACCTGGGGCAAAAGGTCCGGCCCACGAAAGAGCTGAAGAAGCGTCTTTCCACAAAGAGGCCTCTTCCCTGCGCTGCTGCTCCCAGCCGCGAGCACCCATCCATTTTCAGAGCGCGTGACTTTGCCAAGGACGGTCCAGTGTGGTGTGGGCGCACTCGGAGAAGGTGCCGCTGCTTCCGGCTGAGCTGCTCCCGCGGAGCGCCGGCCCCCCCCCCACGGGTTTTCCGGGCCGGTGCCAAGTGGACCTTCGCGCTCCTGGGCCACCTGCTGCTGCGCTGCAGCCGGCCCTCGTGGCGGCAGAGCAAGCCAAAGCAGGGGCCTCACTACACCCCCTGTCGGAGTCTCTCCCCTTTGCAGGCTTCCGACTTAAACCAGGGCCAGGGTCGGCCCAGCAGGTGTCGTTCCCGGCAGCGGGAGCCAGCCCGGATGCCCACGGGAAGCCGGGGCAGACACCAGCGGGCCGCCATGTCTGGCTGAGGCACGAGAGGCAGGCCCGGTGGCGGCGGAGGCCCACCCCGTTCTCCCGGCTGGGAGCGCGGCAGCGGGCTGGCCTAGCAGGCCCGCAGAGAAGCAGGCTGACGTGGGCCAGGAGCTCCCGAGGCAGCTGCCTGCTAACGGGGCGCTAACGGGGCCACGCCTCGCGGGCAGCTTTCTTGCACGCGCTGTGACCCGTGCTGTAGTCGCAGAGGGAGCCACAAGCCCAGGGCCCCTCTCCTGCCAAGCTGGCCGCGGAGCCTGCTGTCCGGCTGTGGGACAGCGACAGCTTGGGACCCCACTGTCCCTCTGCTGATAGATTTCCCGCCAATAAACCCCGTTTTATATCTCACCGTGTAGAACTGGTATGTGCGCCCACATCCCTTGTGCAACAGCAGTCGGCCACCACGGAGCCACACGCACTGTGTCTCCGTGCCACGAGGTCGGGAGTGATGGAGCTTGGCTGGGCACCCCCAGAAGAGACCCCCACGCAGCAGGCAGCTCACCTGTCCGGGTGCCATGCCGGCTGGACCAAGAGCAGGGGGGCGTCCTCTGGAGCGGCTGCTGAGGGCTCTGCCCCCGGCCTGCAGGGGGCGCTGCGGCCCCTGCTGGCCATTGCCCGCATTGCCCTGGAAGAGAGGCCTTGGTTCTCCGCGGCGGCCCCTCATCCCGAGCCCCGTCTTTCTCATGAACTGGGACGAGCTTAAAATGAAAGTGGCGCCCCCAAGGACAGGGCAACCCCGACCCCCAATTCAGACCCTGGCTTCCTTCCCAGGCGAGTCCGTGGCCCATCGGCTGACCCGGTTACCGGCCCTGCGGGGCCCTACCCTAGCAGCCTGGCCGGCAGTCAAGAAGATGGGCCGCGAACCGGCAGCCCACCTCCCAGGTGGGAGGCAGCTGTCTGCGGGAGGACCCCTGTGCTGACGGCCCTCAACATGGACGCTCTATGCAGGGGCTATGTTTTGAGCAGTGCTCGTGGCCATGAAGCCTACCGCCCTGAGACAAGTGACTGCCCACGGCCAAGGCCAGAGACGCAGCCCTGTGGGAAGAGATAGGAGACCCCAATCCCAGGCCCATCTTCGTGTCTCAAATACGCATGCCCACGAGAGGTGGCCACACCTGGAGGAAGGTCCGTGCCTCTACCCGCTGAGTCTCTGCTCAGCCCCACTGTGGAAGGGGCGCCCCACACGGCATGAGGTGCTCCAGCGAGAAACGCTGAGTCCTGAGGGCTGTTACCCCCTGCACGGCCTGCAGGATCTGCTGGCCCTGCAGCCTCCCCAGCCGGCTCTGTGCGGGGACAGTGACTTCCTCCGCCGCACGTCCCGTGCCCCTCAGCTTGGCGAGGCTCCAGGATGCAGCACAAGGAGAATCACAGAGCGATGCAGGCTTCTCCTCATCCGGGACGTTCATGCTTACGAAGGCCTGCGTGCCCTTCCTCTTCTCTGCTCCTGCTTTGACTTCAGAGGACAGATGGATGGCCCGTGTTGCTTGGACCAAGGATGCTCACATGGACAGGAATTTTGACACCACCGTCACCTTGGGTGGGCCCCTGGCTGCTCCGGCTCCAGAAGCTTCCTCCCATATGGCCATCTTCTCCACCGTTGCCTAGCCACAGAGACATCCCCTGCCCTGTCCTGTCACGGAGCAAAGTGCCCGGGGGCAGGCCCTCGGAAGCTGGCCCCTCCATGGCTGAAGATGGATCAGCAGGGCAGTGCCCTCCTCCTTCCCTGCTCCCGCTCTGCTGCTAGTGTCCCCCAATAAACCCGATTTTATGATGTCTGCACCACACGGAGCAGGTAGTTAGTGACAGTGAGCGACAATTATGAAATTATGTTTCAATTATGAAATTCTTAAAAAAAAAAGCTCACTAGGAATAACAAAAGTATCAACAAGGAGCTCAATTTTTAAAAATGGGGAGCAGTGGCCAGCTATGGGAGCCCCGGCCCCCAGGCCCTGTCCCCAGGGTGGTAAGGTGAGCATCATCAAAATGCTTCTCACGGCTCCGCTCCCCCTTGGTCCCCGCCCAACCTCCGGTCCCCACATCCTTCCTGCAGGAAGGTGGCACCAAGGACCTCCTCGGGCCTGAAGTCAGCAGAGGCTTCTCAGAGCTTGCTCGCACTCAGGCTCTGACCAGCCCCTGCCAAACCCTCCCAAGGATGGCTCCTCTCAGTCCTCGGCCTCCCTGGAGGGCTGTTCTGCCCCCACCTGGCCTAGAAGCTTCGTGGTTGGTGTTGTGGGGACTGGACCTCAGCCCCTCTCTGCCCAGCTGCTTGGAGGGTTCCCAGTTTGTCAGTCTGCAGCATGAGCCTCGCGGCCTTGGCCCTGACTAACCTGTGGGCACGGGGCACAGGCAACAACAGGGAGCATCCACCTGTTGTCCGCCTCACGCGGGTTCCGCCACACAAGGAGAAACCCAGAGCTGTGCTTGACGCTGTCCTCCCCGTCCCCATTAACTGTGACTGCCCACTGGCGCCACCCTGCCTGTCACCCACACGCCATACCGTTCACCCATTCAAAGTGTGACTCAGTGGCCCTTAGTATATTCATGAGTGGAGCATCCATCCCCGTCATCTAATTCCAGAATATTCGTCACCCCGAAAGGAAACCCCAGACCCATTAGCCTCACTCGCTCTGCGGTTCCTTTCTCTGGCGCTGGGAGGTTTTGGGGAATTCAGGGGTCTTAGTCCACTCAGGCTGTCATAACAAATACCATAGATGGGGATGGGGTGCAATTAAACAACCCACTTGTTTCCTCAGAGTCCTGGAGGCTGGAAGCCTGAGATCAGAGTGCAGGCACGAGTGAGTTGTGACGAGAACCTCCTTCCTGAGGCATAATGGCTGCCTTCTTGCTGGGTCCTCTTATGGGGTGGGGGCTGACTGGCTAACTCCCTGACCTCCGCTCCTAAGGGCACTAGTCCATCATGAAGCTCCACTCTGACCTAAACACCTCCCAAAAGCTCCACTTCCTAAGATCATCACAGTTGATTAGGGTTTCAACATGCGAATTTCGGAGGGACACAAACTCACTCCACAGCGCCAGCTAAGGCACTCCTATAGTAAAGAGGGCACTTTCGTTGGTCCTTACATTAATAAACATCCCCATCCCGAGCCCCAGCCACTTGCCTACATGACCGCAGCAGCCTCTGGTGTCCCCTTTCTGCAGTCCATCCCTATGATAGCCAGGTAGCCAGATAGCCAGGGGCTTTTCTACAGCGCAGTCCCATCATGCAACACGTGGCCCAGGTGTTCTCTCTCTGGTTTCCACATCACTGCCTTGAACCTTGCCTGGTTCAAGGACCGAAAGCCAGAGGTACTGGGGCGGGGCGTCCTCTGGAGACCAGCCAAGGACAGGGCAGCCCCTGGCCTTGGGCCATATCCTCACCACAGCCCTGCAGAGCCCAGACCCTTTTGGCTGCCCACCCCACTGTCCCCCCAAGGGCTCGGAGGGCAGTAGAAGGGCCCCTGAGCTTTGGAAATGAGGCTTGGGCTCTGGCCTCTCACCCCCAATGCTTGAGAGAAAGGAGGAGTATTTGCCTAGCACCTAGCAAGTACTCAAAAATATTTGTTAAAGATGTGATTAAGTGAAGAGGGGACGGGTGGGGGCCCGGTCAGTGTGCTGCTCAGGCCCCTGTCCCACATCTGTTGGACTCTGGATGGTGGAAGTGACCCAAATGTCCATCGACCGATGAATGGATGAAGAAAATGTGGGCTAGCCATACCATGGACTAGCCTGCAGCCTTTAAAAAGAGGGAAATCTGTCATATGCCGTGACAGGGATGACCCCAGGGGACATCATGTGAAGTGAAACAAGTCAGTCACAAAAGGACAAATATTGTGTGATTCTACTTATGTGAAATACCTAAAGTAGTAAAAAAAAAAAAAAATCACAGGTGGTTCTGGGGGGCTGGGAGAGGGGAGGGGAATTAGTGTTTGATGGGCTAGACCTTCAGCATTGCACAATGATGCAAATATACTTAACACTATTGAAGTGTTCACTTAAAAATGCCTAAGATGATAAACTTAATGTTAGGTGTTGTTTACCACTGAAAAGAGAAAAATGAGCGGATGCCAAGAGCCAGAAGGTGTTTGTAATAAATGCCTCCCCCCAAAGACTCTGGCTGCCAGAGGGGTTGTAGAGGGTGAGAGTGGGGAGCTGGACCTCAGTTTGGAGTGTGATTTGCCCAAGGAAGAGATGGTAGTGGCCCAGACTAGGGAGGTGGCAGCAAGGATGGAAAAGGGACAAGAGATGAGATGTCATGAGTTGACTTGTGCACTCCCTGTTCATGTGTGTGGGAGTCCTACCCCCCCCCAGTACCAGAGTGTGATCCTATTTGGAAATAAGTCATTGCAGATGCAATTAGTTAAGATGAGGTCATACTGACCTAGGGTGGGCGCCTAAGCCAATATGATTGGTGTCCTTATAAAAAAGGGAAATTTGGACACAAACCCACGCACACAGGGTGAACACCGTATGAAGATGGAGCCAGACATCAAGGTGATGCTTCTACAAGCCAAGGAACACCCGTGATGACCAACCTCTAGAAGCTAGTGGAGAGGCATCGAACAAATCCACACTGACAGCTCTCAGAAGGAACCCTCCCTGCTGACGGCTTGGTCTTGGAATTCCAGCCCCCAGTCTGTGGGACTCTGCTAGGACGCCCTAGGAAAGCAAAGGGAAGACAACAACTAGATGGAGCAGGAGGTGCGCTGGTGGAGCTAAGTTGTGCCGGTTGGTGTAACAAGCAAAACTCCAATCTCAGCAGCTACGCAACACATGTTTATTTCTCATGCATCCCCACACTTCAGGTTGGTGGGCACCTTCCACCAGGTCACTCAGGAATCCAGCTCCTTCCACCCTCCCCGGGCCCTGGGCATCTCCCACATCTAGCTGGTGAAGGGAGGAGAGAGAGCCCTGGCAGAGACCCACATGTGCGTGCTGCAAACCTGGAGATCGTGTTAAATACAGGTTCTGATGAAGGAGGTCTGGGGTGGAGGCTGAGAATCTGCATTTCTAACAAGCTCCTCAGTGATGCTGAGGCTGCTGGTCTGGGCCCCCACTTTGAGTACTGAGAGGCATCACTCCTGCCCACGCCCCATTGGCCTGAACTCATTCCCATAGTCAAATGCAAGGGAGGCAGGGAAATGAAGTTCAGCTGTTTTCGCGGAGCTGGAGGAACCAGGATCAGTAAACACAGGTGGAGGGCGGGAGCAGGTAGGAGGGACCACGGCAGTCCCGTTATTCCGCAGGGACCAAGGGGAAGTACTCACTGGGACTGTGGGGCCCTTCAGCCTTCCTGAACTCTCTGTAAGTGACAGGGTGAGAGCCAAGGTCTTCTTTAGTTTGAGGCTCTGTGAGCCATCTGGGACTGGAGCTTGCAATGAGACCCCGCCCCTCATCTCAGTGCCCCCGTCCTAGGACTGAGCACCCCGTCCCTGTCGTCCAATAGCTCCTCTGCAGGAGACTGAGCCCTTGGGGAACAGGAGGCTGAAGTACAGTAGACTGGATGGACAGTTTGGTCCATCCCTGACAGGACAGGAGCCTGTCCCTACTCTACTCTCCCTACTGACCCCTGTCCCTGTCCCCCACCTAGCCCTTTCCTGGGCAGTCTGTGACCCTGGAGGTGACGTTCCCCACGTACCTCCATCACAGAGGTCATGGCCCAGGCCTGCGGTCCCCAGATGCTGCCTGTGGTCCAGAGACTTGGGAGGACACCTACAAGCCCCAGCAGCAACTGCCTCTCTCCGTACCCCCCCCTTCATGGGAGAAGGGGGGCCAGGTCAAAGGGTGGCCCCTGGTCATTCCCTGGTTAGGGGGGCCTTAGACACAGGTTGTCTGCTGGGCTAGCATGCGCATGTGAGACTCCCAGTCCAGTGCTCAGCAGGGCCAGGAAATTGGGAGGCGAGTCCTGGCCAGCCTGGCAGCTGAGAGGGCTTCCCCCTGAGGCGACCCTGGTGTCCAATTCGAGTTTCAGCAAGCCCACCTCCTTCGAATGTTCACCCCCTGGGCTGCCCGCCCCTAGGATGCAGGAGCCTCATCACGAGAGGCACTGACTTTGCTAGGTCTCCGGTCCCATTGTCGCTACCCACATCTTGGCCTTTCTAGAATCCTTCCTGCACGCCCCTAGCTGACGGGAGGGGACAGCCCGTCAGGGCTGTAGAGCTTGGTGAAGGCTGAGGAGAGGTGGGGAGGCTGGATTGAGGGGCAAGGGATCTGGGCTGGGCGGGGCCGCTCCGGGGCCCGGGCTACCACCCATCTCCTCCCGGCGCCCGCCCCCGCCCTCCCACGCACCTGCGCTGGCCTCCCCCCAAGCCCTGGGGGCAGCCGGCGGGCGGCGCTGGGAGATCAGAGGATTCGGAGGAGTTGGGCCCGGGAGGAGGGGGCGGGGAATTTCCCCCCACGCCTGCCTGGGCCTGCTCCCCTCCCCCTCCCCCGCCAGGTTGGGGGTGGGGGGGGCTCCGCTGGGGGAATTCCACTGCTCTGCGAGGGCTCCAGCGAGCCTGGGCTGGGGGTCCTATGGAAAGAAGGGGGGAGAGAGGAGGGGACAGGCTGGGAACAGGGGCGCAGCTGCCTTCCTCCCCAGACACCAGCTGCCCCTGCCTGTCCGGGGTTGAACGTCCACCATTCCCGCCTGTCTCGCGGGCGCGGGGGCAGGGAGTGGCACTTCCTCCGTCAAACCAGAGGCATTCGGCACTTGGGGAGAGGGGCCTGAGGATCTGAAAGAGGGTGTGCGTTTGAGCTTCCGACAATGAATGGGTGACAGACTGGGAGTGCATGCGTGCACTTGATTCAAGGGCGGGTGTCCCAGGGGCGTGTGGCCTCGGGAGAGGGTCGTGTATCACCCCCACTGGGGTCCGTCTGTCCACCAGCCTGGCCTGGCCAGTCCTCCTCCACACACCGCTAGAACCTGCACGGACCTTGAGAGGGGAAGGGGAGGGGAGAAGCGTGCCGGGACACCGAGGGTCCCGGGGCAGTGTGTGTGTGGGGGGGGGTTGGCGTGGGAGGCGTCTGGACCTGCTGCCTCCGCTCCAGTCTCGGGCGGGGCTTCCCGGCCTCGGGGGATGGGGTGGGGAGGGAGGGACTCAAGAGGGAGGGACCCACAGAGGGACGCGAGGGGGGCAGGAGCCAGTGCTTTACAGACCTGAGCGAGGGAGACTCAGAGAGCAAGCCGCAGCGGGAGGGGGCGGGCGTGGAAGCCGAGGCAAGCCCCGGAGTACTGAGGGGCAGTGACGGAGAACGCCCCTGGCCAGAGAACCCCGGGGATAGCCCCAGTGGGGACACAGGGGCAAAGAGACGCCTCCAGGGGCGGAAACCCTGGGAGGCAAATACACCGCCCCAGACGGAGAGCGCCGCCCAGAGCGGGACGAGAACAGACGGTCCGAAGACAACGCCCCCCAGGTCGCCTGGAAGCCCCCGGAGCGACCCCGGGGGCGGCATGGAGTGTGCGGGGGCCGGGGCAACCGCTCTTTGGTTGGGGGCGATGCAGACACGGGCCCCGCGGGGCTTCCTCCTTCTCCTCCTCTTCCTCCCGCTGCTGCCGCCACGCGGCGCCTCCGCCGGGAGCCTGCACGGCCCAGGTGAGTCTTGGCCCGACGACTGAGCCGTGGTCACCACTCTGTCCTCTGCCTCCGCGCCTAGAACCGGGTCCCGAGGCTGAGGAGGGGGCAGAGCAGGTGGCGGGAGCAGCTGAGCAGCCCCAGGGCCCCGTAGGCGCCGGGGGCGCTGACTGGGGAGCCGGGTGGCAGTTGGAGTGGGGGGGGGCTGAAGATGCGGAAGGTCCGGACCTCCCCAGGCCCTGCGGTCGTCGTGCAGGCCTGTCCGAGTGCTTCCAGGTGAATGGCGCCGACTACCGCGGCCACCAGAACCGCACGGGTCCGCGCGGGGCCGGCCGCCCGTGCCTGTTCTGGGACCAGACGCAGCAGCACAGCTACAGCAGCGCCAGCGACCCCCAGGGCCGCTGGGGGCTGGGCCCGCACAACTTCTGCCGGTGAGGGGCGGGGCCTGCGCTGGGGGCGGGGTTGGGCGCCGCGGTGCCTGCGGCGTCCTTGGGCAGAGCCTCGCTGTGGGTGCAAGGGAGGTCTTGGCTGGGCGGATACAAAGTACACCCGGGAGGGTCTGGGAGCGGAGCCTCGGCGAGGGACGAGGCCTAGCCCGTCCTGGGGGCGGGGCTGGACGCTCGGAACATTGTCGCGCGTGGGACCCGCCTTAGGTGCCCAAAGTCTGCAGTCTTGGTTCAGGCCTGGGCATTCAAGGAGCCCGCGCAGGCAGGACCCAGTCGTGGGGCGAGCCCTGGAGTGAGGGGCCGGGCCCCTGCCATATAACTGATTTGAGGGGCCCTACTCGTTATGGAGGGATTGGGGGTTCAGAGCCACAACTGCTGTCTGGAGCTGAGCTGGAGGACACCGCAAAGCTCAGGGCTCACCACTTTTGCTCTAAAGCGGGGTCCCAGCCCAAGGGAAGTGGCTGAGGCCCAAGGCAGTGTTGGGGACAACACTACTGGTGGCCTCAAAGTTCTCATGTATAAGGTCACGTCCTAGCAACAGCTGAAGCCCAAAATACGCTCTCGGGGCCCCTTTAAGGACTTCCCACCGACCCCTCGGAAGTCGACATCCAGAAGCACGTGGGACAAAACCAGAATTTGTGCGACAACGGAGAGGAACACACAGAGTTCTAACACACACGGTGGCCATTTTGCGAATAGGCTGTGGGGTGGGGCCTGGGATTTGCAGCCTCTGGGGTGGCGGGACCCGGACCACTTGTCCCCCACCGGCAGGAACCCCGACGGCGATGTGCAGCCGTGGTGCTACGTAGCCGAGACAGAGGAGGGCATCTACTGGCGCTACTGCGACATCCCCACGTGCCACAGTGAGTGGGCCCGGCTGGACAAGGCTGGGAACGCTGGGCTGCCTGGGTGGAGTTCTCTTTTGGGGGCACTGACAGAGCCTGGCTCTGGTGCCCCCTCAGTGCCCGGATACCTGGGCTGCTTCGTGGATTCGGGGGCACCCCCCGCCCTCAGCGGCCCCAGCGGCACCTCAACGAAGCTCACGGTCCAGGTGTGCCTTCGCTTCTGCCGCATGAAGGGCTACCAGGTACTGCCCCCCACCTCCGGCCCAGAACGGTGACCCCTCAACTTGACCTCAGGACCCAGATCAACTCCCAACTCTGACATCAAACCCTGAGGCTGATTTTGGAACCTCCAGCCCGATTCCCACTTGCGACCCAGACCCTAGGCTCCCACTACCCCGCCCTGCCCCAACCACTGCCTCTGGGGTCACCCAGTCTGTGCTCCCAGCTGGCGGGCGTGGAGGCTGGCTACGCCTGCTTCTGTGGCTCTGAAAGCGACCTGGATCGGGGACGCCCGGCCCCAGCTACCGACTGTGACCAGATTTGCTTCGGCCACCCGGGCCAGCTGTGCGGCGGCGACGGCCGTCTGGGCATCTACGAAGGTGAGGAGTGAGCGGGGAAGAGGGGCCTGGGGGAGCGGCGGAGTCTGGGTGAGACCCGGGAGCGCGATCTGGGACGCGCAGAAGAGGCGACCCGGCCGATCTTGGGGGTCGGGCGGGGCCTGGGGTTGAGGGCGGGGCTTGAGAGGAGTCACAGTCCTCGGAAGGAGTGGGACCCGGCTCAGGCGGCAGGGAGGCAGGTCTGGGGTCGGCCCCCCCCGGGGGAGGGAGAGGAGCCTGGCCCCGCGGTTCTGACGGCCGGCCCCGCCCACAGTGTCCGTGGGCTCCTGCCAGGGCAACTGGACCGCTCCTCAGGGCGTCGTCTACTCCCCGGACTTCCCGGACGAGTACGGGCCGGATCGGAACTGCAGCTGGGCGCTGAGCCCGCCGGGCGCCGCGCTGGAGCTCACCTTCCGACTCTTCGAGCTGGCCGACCCGCGCGACCGGCTGGAGCTGCGCGACGCCGCCTCGGGCAGCCTTCTCCGCGCCTTCGACGGCGCCCGCCCGCCGCCGCCCGGGCCGCTGCGCTTGCGCGCCGCCGCGCTGCTGCTCACCTTCCGCAGCGACGCGCGCGGCCACGCGCAGGGCTTCGCGCTCACCTACCGCGGTGAGAGCCGGCCTGGTCGCCCCCCGCCCGCCGCCCCGCCGCCCCGCCGCCCCGCCTCACACTTCTGTCCGCAGGGCTGCAGGACGCCGCTGACGACCCGGCGCCCCAGGGCTCGGCGCAGACCCCCGCAGCGCCCCCCGACTGGGCCAACGTGAGCTGCAGCCCCCGGCCTGGGACTCCGGAGGCCGCGATGGGGGGTGAGGCGGGCGTGCGAGGCGGGAGGGCGTTTGGGGAGCCGCCCCTTCCAGACCCCGTCCTCACAGCACCGTGCGCCCGCAGCCCGGGTCTTCTCAACGGTGACGGCCATCTCGGTGCTGCTGCTGCTGCTGCTGTCGCTGCTGCGTCTGCTGCGCCGACGGTGCGCCCCCTGGGGCGGGGCCTGAGGGCGGACGCCTCGGTGCCTCGGGGGGGGGGGGATGGGACCTCACCGGGAAGCTGGGGCCTCCAAGGGGACCGGGGCTGGGAGGAAATCCTGGGTTCTTGAGGGCCGAGGCCTTGCGTCCACACAGGGATTCGCGCGTGGGATCGCAGGCGAAGCAGGATGCTGGAGGTAAGTTGGTTGGGGCTTCGGCTGACGTCTGCTCCCTCTCTAGGAGCTGTCTGCTGGCTCCGGGGAAAGGCCCCCCGGCGTTGGGGCCTTCCCGGGGCCCCGGGAGAAGCTGGGCTGTGTGGTACCGCCGGCCTCGAGGGGTGGCCCTGCCCTGCCCTCCCGGGGACCCTCAGGCTGAGGGTCTAGCCACGAGTTACCGGCCCCTGAGCGCCTCCAGCCAGAGTTCCCTGCGCTCGCTCATCTCTGCTCTCTGACTCGGGACCCCCAGGGTCCACTGGACCCTCCCCAGCGGGATGGACACCTGAGACTTCATGCCGCACTCTGCATTGACCTTCCGCCCCTGTAAGGGCATCTCTGTCCCTGGTCATCCGTGGAGGCCAGGCATTGGACAGGAAGCATCTGATGCTGTTATTGAGAACTTGGTCTGACCCTCGGGGTCCAGATGGTTGAGGCCAAAGGGCAAGAGGAATCCTAGCTTCCCTTCCTCATGAACCTTGATACGGGGGTCTCTGATTTCAGGTTGCTTTGAGAGCCTCTTGGGGTGGTCCTGGACTGCTGCCCTAAGGGAAATGGGAGAGGTCGAGAAAGTCAAAAGACCAACGGTAGACTTTGAATAAAGGACCTATTTTGGTACAGGGCTCTGCAAGTTGCTGCGTGATGAGAGGGGTTATGTTAATGAGGGTATCGGAGCCAAGGTTGGGTGTGTCCATGCAAATTAAGGTCGGTCCCCACAGGAGGTGATTTGGAGCCGCCTGGAACGCTGAAGACTGAGGAACTGAGGAGGCGAAAGGATGGGTGGGCGGAGTCCTGGAGAAGGAGAGGAGGAGGAAGCCGATTGTGGGCGTGGTTAAGCCGGAGAAGGCACGCATTCCTGGACCCGCTTTAGGATGAACCCGGAAAGGGACCGACGTTTCTCCCTTGGCCTCCTACCCTCTCTCTTCCCTTCCGTTTCCTGTCTTTTCTGGGTGGAACTGAAGGTGCCCCTGTTGTGAAAAATAATCAGACCCTCGAGAAACCAAGTGACACTCGAAGAAGTAGGAGAACTCGGGTTTATTTTACGCCAGCGGACCCAGACGAGCTCGCACTCCAAATTCTGGGCCCCGGGCAGCGGGGTTACAGGGTTTTTATAGGGGGGTGCAGCGGGTCAGGTTCCAAGGGCTATGCTGGCTGCTGGTATGTGGATTTAAACTGGGGGAGCGGGGGGGCTGCTTTAGGCAGGAACAGCGGTTAGGGAGCTTGTGGCGGGAAGCCTGTTCAGAAGCGGAAACGGCTGGTTATCTCTTGCTCCCAGCGGGGCTTCTGGTTATCTCTTGCTCTCCCAACTGAGCTAGCAACTTTCCATCCTCTGGGGCCTGCTGGCCTGGTCCTGCTCTGGGTAATTTTCCTCTTAAACCCCAGTGGGCGATAACAGGGAGCGAGTTTGACCGAGCCCAGGTTATAAGGAGCCTGGCCTGAAGGGCAGGGCATGGCCCGAGGGTGCTGGGCGCGTCAGACACACCTGTAGAGGCCTAGGCATCTCAGCGCGGCTTGCTGCGCTCCCGCTGAGTCGGGAAGGTGGAGAGATCACCCCTGGAGCGGGGACGCGCCGGGTCTAGACTTTACTGGTCCGAAGGTCCGGGGCCGGCAGCACCTTGGACAGAGCCCGGGTGAGGGGTGGGGCTGCGTGGTGGGGAGGGTGAGTACCCAAGGGTGCCTCGACCTCGGGGGTCGCGCGGAAAGCCCGGGAGCGCACGGCAGACTCAAGGCGCCGGGGCCTCTCCAGCAGAGCCACCGGGACCCAGAACGTTGGATTCCTCGCCTACAGCTACCCCATGCAAATGAGGCTAGGACCGCATATATTATGCTAATTAAGCGAAAGTCTGGGCGGGCGTGGGCGGGGCCTCCCCAGCCAGCCGCGCCCATTGGCCCTCACAGGACTGACGTCACGAGCACCGCGCGCGAAACGCTGGCGGGATGGCGGGGGCGAGCAGCTGGGGCGGAGTCTGGCGTCCCCGCCAGCGTCCCGCCGCACCCGTCCTCCCCGCTGAGAAGAGACTACCGGCCCCCGCCGCCGCCGCCGCCGCCGCGAGCTGTCCCTGCGGCGCGCCTGCCCCGGCAGGGCCGGCCGCACTGCGCTCGGGCGCTCCGCGCGTCCCCAGCCTCCGCCCCGGCGTGGGGGGCGCCGGGCCCGCGCGTGCGCAGCGCGGGAGGGGGCGCGGGCCGGGACCCCCGGCCGGCGCGTGCGCGGACGGGGCACTGGGTGGCGTGGGCACCGGGATGAGTCTCCGTGCGCTGTGGCAGCACTGAGGCGGCGGCCGGGAGCCGAGGGGAGCGCGGACCGCCCGCGCCAGGCCGGGCCATGGCGTTCCTGGCCGGGCCACGGCTGCTGGACTGGGCCAGCTCGCCACCGCACCTGCAGTTCAACAAGTTCGTGCTGACGGGCTACCGGCCGGCCAGCAGCGGCTCGGGCTGTCTGCGCAGTCTCTTCTACCTGCACAACGAGCTGGGCAACATCTACACGCACGGTGAGCAGCGCCCCTCATCCCACACCCGCGGCAGCCCTGCCCGAGCCTAGTCGGGGGCCGGAAGGCCGGCGAGCGCCCCAGTGCTCAGGTCCTCGGCTGCCTGGGCCCTGGCACAGCCAGGAGCCGTGGTGACAAAGCTGCCATTGTCCCGGACGGAACTGTCCTTCCGCTCCCCGGGCGGGGCCCCCGGGGCGGGCGAGGGAAGCAGAGTAGGGGACCAAGTCCGCTTAATCCCTCTGAGCCCCGGGGAGGAGTCTGGTGTCCGCCCCCCTTCATAATCCCTGTGTTTGGGGCACCCTCCCCCGCCAGCACTCGTCCAATAGATAGATGGGTGTTGACTTCGGCAAGGAGGGGCCCAGGAAAAGAAGCCAGGCCCCAGCCCCTCCCCGTGTGGCTGCCCTGCCACCCCCCGTCCGGAGCAGCCCGGCCGCGAGGCTCTGCCTGGTGGCGGCTCCTTCCTTCCCCCAACCCCAGCCCCGCAGGCGCCCGGCCCCGCCTCCGCGGCCCTGCTCTGCTGACACAGCCCTGCCCGTCCTTGGGCTGCCCGGGGCCAGGAGAGGGGCCTGAGCAGGCAGGGCCCAACCTTGGTACCTGCCTCACTGGGGGACTATGGCCTGGCCACCCCTTGCCCAGTTTGCAGCCAGCAGCCTCAGTCTGCTGTGCCCACCTTTGACCCCTGTGAGGGCAATGCCAGAGTGACCCTGGGGAAGGGGTATGAATCGCCCTGGTTGGGGCTTACAGGAATGGAGCACAGGAAAAGCTGCTGGGGTGATGGAACAGGCTCCTTCAGCCCCTCTCCCCTGCCTGACTTGGCCCCTTTCTGGAAGACAAAAAGACCCAAAGCTCCTTTTGTCTGGTCACCTAAAGAGGACACAGGGGTTGAGAGAAGTAAGCTAAGTGACCAGGGGTTCTGGTTTCGTTGCCCACATATCCTATTCAGAATTCAGCATGAGGTCATGCCTCCTTCTGGCTTCTGCTGACACACCAAGTTTGGGGGACTGGGGCCCCTTGCTTTCTGGGGAGGTAATGTGGCTGTGGGGATGAGAGCAGCATGGGAGTTAAGACTGCTTCCATGGCCTACCTGCTGGGGTCACCTGGGCCACTCACTCAGTTTCTTCAGCTGAAAGTGTGGATGACGGTCTCTACTTCCAGAAACTCTTGTGAGCTCTGCTGTCCCTGAAGTTACTGAAGGCACAGGGCCTGCCTCTGTCAGCCTGGCCACTAGTGTGCTCAGAGCATTGTCAAGACCTGTTTTGCCTCATCCCCCTTGTATTATCTCTAGACTGTGGACTCCCTGAGGAAATGACTTGTCCTCTGTGCTCAGGCCCTGTGATGGGTAATTGTCTCCTCCCCCAGGGCTAGCCTTGCTAGGCTTCCTGGTGCTGCTGCCGATGACCATGCCATGGGGTCAGCTGGGCAAGGATGGATGGCTGGGGGGTACGCACTGTGTGGCCTGCCTGGCGCCCCCCGCAGGCTCCGTGCTCTATCACCTCTTCATGTGCCACCAAGGGGGCAGCACTGTGTATACCCGACTCCTTGCCCTGGATATGTGTGGGGTCTGCCTGGTCAACACTCTCGGTGAGCCAAGGGATGGGGTGGGTGGGTTTGAAGGATGGGAGCTGGGAGGGGGCAACCAGGAAGGAGGAGGCAGGGGTCACTCACATGAGCCCTGGATATAAAGGGCAGGCAGTTCCCCAGACTGATGTGCCTTTTCCTGCCTTTCTCCTCTGTGTAGGGGCTCTGCCCATCATCCACTGCACCCTGGCCTGTAGGCCCTGGCTGCGTCCAGCTGCCCTGGTGGGCTACACCATGCTGTCAGGTGTGGCTGGCTGGCGGGCCCTCACAGCTCCCTCCACCAGTGCCCGGTTCCGTGCCTTCGGTTGGCAGGCTGCCGCCCGCCTCCTGGTGTTTGGGGCCCGGGGAGTGGGGCTGGGCTCTGGGGCTCCAGGCTCCCTGCCCTGCTACCTGCGCATGGATGCGCTGGCACTGCTTGGGGGACTGGTGAACGTGGCCCGCCTGCCAGAGCGCTGGGGACCTGGCCGCTTCGACTACTGGGGCAACTCCCACCAGATCATGCACCTGCTCAGCGTGGGCTCCATCCTCCAGCTGCATGCTGGTGTTGTGCCAGACCTGCTCTGGGCCGCCCACCATGCCTGCCCCCCACACTGAGCCACCTCTGGCCCACCATGCTGGCCTCTCGACAGTCTTCTAGGACCAACAATACCGTGCTTCACTCCTCCTGCTGGTCTTCGAGGGGCCGAATGCCTGGATGCTTCCAGCAAACAGGACTCCCCAGCTGGGAGACCTCATCTGTTCGTCCATTCTTCCCTGTGGACTCATCTCTTCTACTCACACCTCGGAGCTCTGGCTTCCCCTCCCTGCAACCTTCTTTCAGGGTACTCTCCGTGTAGGCTAGAAGGAAACCTTTCCTTCCTAGGCCTCACAGTTTATCCTCTGTGACCTATGAGGGTATGGCCAGAGCAACTCTGGGGTCATGTCTGGCTCTGACAGTTGGAATCCTACGAGCCCAGAGCCATGAGCCCACCCTGCCCCACACATAAGGTACACCTCATGGGTGCCTTGCCCAGCCTTCAGCCCGTATGTCCTGCCCTCTGTCTTTCTGCTCTGCATGCCAGCCCTCCCTGCAGCCTGAGGCTCACCCACCCCTTCTCCCTTCTGTCCGGACACTGTGGAGTGAGGGGTTTGGGCAACAGGACTAGTCTCTTATCCCAGGACCATGGGGTAGGAGGGCAGCCGCAGCTACTTTCTCCAGGCAGCTAGCACAGAGACAAAGAGCTGAGTGGCCCTGCACTCAGGGCCCCACTGGGCTGAGGGCCCCCCCTCCACTTTGAGTGCCATGCTCTGATGGCTCGACCTACACAGTGGGGACGAGCCTGCTCAGGAAATCTCTGCTCTACACAGCGCATGGCTCCTACCTCCAGTCAGCTGGCCTGGGGCCCTGCATCAGGGCCCAGCCTCCACCCACCCTGGGGCCTCAGACCTGGGGCAATATCAATAAAAGGGGCAGGAAGCGCTGTGTTGCCACACAAGCAAGCTTGGGTGCTCCCAAGATTCAAATACCTTTTATTAGACATGGGTAGGCAGGAGGCACCGCTGGAGTTCCCAGAGGGACCCCAGCCTCCAGGAGGATTGGGGGGTGGCTAAAAGGTTAAAAGCACCAAGGCTGGCCTGTAGATTCAGGTTGGGCCCAGTGAGTCCTCAAACAGGCTGAGGAGGTTCCGAGGTTCAAAGGAGGGGAGGGAACCCCGAGGGGGCTCAGAGTCAATGTCACTTAGGTCCAGGGCATCCCTGGGGTGGGGGGGAAGAGAGACAAATGACACTTAGGATCTGAAAGCCACTACCTCCCACCCCACTGGACTCTCGGACTGCTCACCTCAGTGAGTACCTGTTCCGGGGGGCAGGGGAGCCATTGCGGGGGGTGGAGGTATTCCCGACAGCCCTGGCCAGGACGGCCTCCGGAGAGAGTGAGAGCCTGCACAGGGTGGGCCAGACAAGTAAGGTGTCGAGGGGTGGGGTGTGCACTGGGAGGAGGCCACAGCTGGGTGGGGGCAGCAAGATCAATCCTGTCCCTGTGCAGGTGCCAGGCTCCAGCCTGGCATGGGCGGGGGCGGGGAGGGCACAATGGGGACCAGCAGAAATGCTGTGCCCTTTGAGAGAAGCACTTTCACAACTTTGAAAGGCCATCTGACCACACTCAAAGGCTACCTCTGTTCTGTCTCAGAACACATGGGTTAGGAGAACTGGCTTTGTAGTGAACTTGTGAAAATTAAGCTTTTCTGGTACTTCCTGTCGATAAGACGTGTCCCCATGGCAAGGGGGTGATGTTTCCGTAAGGAAGGGGTTAATGCTGTGATTCCTCCTGAGGCCTGTGCCCCATCCATATGATTTTTTTTGCAGCAGTTTCCTAATTACAGCCCCTCATCTGACCACCAGGAGTTTCCCCAGGGCCAGCTCCCCAGTGCCTCATCTGTGGGCACTGGCAGCCCCTGCTGTTGGGGGGGGTGCTGTGGCCCTCACTGCTCCTTCAGGTGGCAGTGCCCGAAGCCTGAAGTTGCCAGTTCTGCTCTGCTCTGCACATTGCCTGCACCGAGCTTGGAAGAGACAGCTGCATTCAAAGTAGGCCAGGCTGCACCCCCACTGGCCCTGGTTCCCATCCCAGGGCATGATGGGGGCCAGGTTTGTGGGAGGGGTCCTGCTCACCACTGATCCCCTTGGGTCTGGGGCCTGGCCGTGCTGACCGCCCCTTTCCCCCGCCTCCAGCACCCTCAGCTCTCACCCACCCTATGCTGTCGTCATCCCAGCTGCTGGAGAGGCTGCTGTCCAGGAGAAGGCTGCAGGGTGGGGAGCCAGGTGGGGTGGCTGGTGGGCTCGGGGGCTGCAGCCAGGTGGCAGGGTGAGCCAGCCCGTGCCAGAGCCAGCACAGCAAGGAAAGCAGGGCCTGTGGGGACAGGGATGAGGGAGGCAGGTCAGACCCTGGGGCTGGGGAGCAGGGCGGGGCGTCCTGCCACCATCGCCCAACTTACCTGCCACAGGGCCCACCCTCGACTGAGGGCATCAGCAGCCATATACCACAGAACGCTCCAGGGCCGAGGCTGCCTGAGCATGGGCAGGGCCAGCAGGGCCGAGGCTGTGGCCCGCAGCCTGGGGTCAGGTTCTAGCATCATGGTGAGGACAGAACGCAGCTCAGAAGACAGGCCTGTCCACAGGGCAGGGCCATGTCAGGGGTGACTGGGCTATGAGCCCAATTGTCCCCCACTGCCAGCCATTTCCTCCCACACAAGCCTGCCCTCCCTGGGGCAGGATGGTCCTCTCCAACCTTGCCCTCCACTTACCAGCCGTGAACTCAGGGGGCAGATAGCCCTGGCGAAGCTGCTGCCAGCCCTCCCCACCGTGGGGTAGCTCCATGTTGCACGCCACTTCCAGGATGGTGAGACCAAGACTGGGAAGGACAAGGGCAGTGACAGAAGAAGGGCAAGGTTGGCCTTGAGACACAGACCCTAGAGCTCCAGGCTGCCCAAGAAGAGGGTGGGAAAGGGCTGCGGTCTTCTGCCATGAGCCAGGGATGTGGGGGGGGGTGTCCTGAGAAGGCCCCAACAGGGCCAGTGATGGGACCGTGTCATGCAGAATGGACCCCAGGCAGAGCACAGCCTATAGCACCTGGTGAGTCCTCCTGGCACCCCTCACTGGACAGGCACTATGGTTACTAATGTTACTACCATCGTTCTATTGACAAGGCTGGATATGGCTGTTCAAGGCAGGACAGTGGTTACTAGCATGGATGATGGAACCCAGTGCCTGGTCCAGTCCCAGCCTCACCACTTGCTAACTGGACTTCGGGCAAGTCCCTCAACTCCACTGTGTCCGTTGCCTATAAATGGAGTCATCGTCCCCCCCTATGGGGGTGTGGTGAGGAAATGGGTGGATGCATGTAAAGTGGCTCCAGAGGGTTCACTGCTTAGACAGCCTGACTCTGCAGAACCCCCTCAACTACAGGGCAGGCCTCCACCCCTTTGGAGCAGCATGTCCAGCCCAAGGCCAAGTCTTCCTGACTTTGGGCTAGGGTGGCGTTTCCCTCCCTCTGCTAACTGCACCCCGCCCTGCCCCGCCAAAGAGCCTCCCACATCCCAGCCCTCACCTGAACACATCCGCTGCTGTCCCATAGGAGCCCTGCAACAGCTCAGGAGCCATGTACCGGGGGTCTCCCTCCTGGGCCTCACCAGCTCCAGACGTACCCAGCTCCACCAGCAGCCCAAAGTCACCCAGCTTGCAACGGCCCCGGGGCCCCAGGAAGATGTTGGCAGGCTTGACGTCAAGATGGACCAGGCCTTGGCCGTGGAGGTGAGCCAGGGCAAGCAGGGTATCCCGCAGGTAGCCCCAGACCTGGGCCTCAGGCAGGCCGGTGCCCCAGGCCTCACAGTGCTGCTGCAGGCTGGGCCCACACAGCTCCGTCTGCAGGTACAGGATGCCGCCCTCCTCCCAGGCTTGCTCCAGCCGCACACAGCGTGGGTGCTGCCCCACCTTCTCGTGGCCGCCGACCTCGGCCAGCTTGCGGGCCCGGTCCTTGGGGCCCCGGAATGGTGACATAGAACGCTTTATTGCATAGAGACGGCCATCTTCCTTAGAGCGTACCTGGAAGGGAGGCGGCACAACCACTTAGGAGGGCCATTTGGCGGATTCTATTACAACTGTACATGTGTGGGATTTGTAGCATGGCATCTACCTTAGCGAGACCCACACACGTGCAATAGCAAAACTGGGTAAGCCAGTCGAGCTCTAAGTTTTGACCCAGAAGGGTCTCCATGACATGTCGTTCTATGAAGAAAGCTGGGTACAGAACCATGTGGGCAGAATGACCCGCTGTGTAGAATACACAGTGAGTTTGTCTCTATATGGTCAACTTTGGAGATGTATAGAGAAAGGTCTGGAAGGAAGAACACCCACCTGAGAAGCATAGTAGATTCTTCTGGGAAGAACTGGTCTAGGGGCCGGTGTTGTTTGTACTTTTTAACAACAAAATTGTCTCCATGTAGTACTTGTGTAAGGAGAATTACCATTTTAAAGGAAATATAAGTGATTGGAAATATATTTTAAGAAAAAAAAAAGTGGCATGGAGGGTGTAGCCTGAATTCCGGCTGGCCTGAGGTGATGGGGGAGGGGGCTGGCTCCAGGGCAGGAGGAAAGGCAGCCAGGAGCCACTGTATAGCGTGCCAGGCTCTGGACAAGGGGAACGTGTGTGTTGAGGGGCCTGAGTGGGGGGAAGGAGAAAGCAGTCAAATCAGGCACTGAGGAAGGGAGCCTGTCAAGCTGGCTGCCTAGGACACTGTCCCATCCAGGCATGGGAGGGAGGCTGGACGGGGGGTCCCCCAGCAGGCCCAGGGAGTTGTCACCCCACTCACCTTGAAGACCTCTCCATAAGAGCCGTGGCCCAGGCGGCCAAGCCTCTGGAAACTCTGTTGGAAAAAGGACTCCGGCTGGCTGGGGTCATATGAGGGGCTCTGCAGGGTCTCAGAGGCTTTGCCTCGGAATGACACCCTCCGGGGCTGGGGCTGGTGCCAGCCTGGGGTCCGAGGAGGGAAGAGGCGGCTGATGGGGATGCTGCCCTTGGCAGGGGGCCGGGGTGGGAGGCTGCGACTGAGCCCCCCAGGCCTCTTGAGGGAGAAGCCAGGTTCTGCATGGCGGAAGTAGGCTGGGACTGGGACAGGGGTACCACTGAGGGGTGGAGGGGTGCCCTCCGTGGGCACGGGCATGGCCAGCACAGGAGGCCCTGGGGTGCACAGTACGGAGCAGTATGTCCACTCAAACAGTGCCTGATCCTGTGGCCCCAAAGAGGCTTCGGAAGACAGCCACGTCCACTCTGCACACACGTTCTGCTTTAAACATGGAGGCCACAGGGACACCGAGCACCTGCTGGGAGAAGGCAGAGGACAAATACATATACGCCTGCACACAGTCATCTGTACCTTGGAAGTCATAGAAGCATAAACTGAAAACCCCAAGGCCATGTCCTACAGATTCCCACAGCCCAGCAGAGGTTAAGCTGAGGCGGGTTCTGGAGCTGGCCCGCCTGCATGTATAGCCCTGGCACGTCACCACCAGCTGTTTGGCCTTAAGATATACACCTTCTTCCAACAATGTAAGGTGGAAATATTAACACAGGCCTACCGTCTCTTATCTCCAATTCAAAAGTAAAAACAAGGTCTGAAGCCAAGTTTCTTTCCTGACTTCTTTCTCCTAGCCACAGGGCTGAAACTCATTTCGTGGGACTGCACTTCTAGCTCCGTGTTGCAGAGACCAAGTTCCGGGCGGGCGCAGCAGAGAAGCCAGGGGCTCCCTCTTCCATCAGCCTCTGCTCATGGAGCAAAAGCTCTACCTCAGAGTCAGAGGGCTGGGAACAGGGAGCCCTGGTAGCTCAAGCCGAAGCTCCTTTGCAGGAAGGAGGCTCCCCCGTGGGGAGGGCGAGCAGAGAAGGCCAGAGGCTACCGTCCCCACCCTAAGGAGGCATTGTTACCCAGTGAGACAGGCACCACTGTCCCTGCCCTCAGCTCCAGAACTGCGGCCCAGGGATTCTGCCTACAGAGAAGCAGGCAATGAAACAGAAAGTTCTGAAGCTCTCCCTGCAAAAAAATAGTGACTTTATTTGAAACAATGTGTGGGAAATTCAAGCGCAAAGGCGCTCTCAAAGTCAGTGGAGGCTTTGGTGGTAAGCAACTAGGAGGAAGCTGGTACCTCCATTAGTGCAACAGAGTACCCCTTGGGCCAGCTAGTTTACCACAGAGAACTGGGGAAGGAGATAGCTAACAAGAGCCTGGTTGGGGTCAGAACAAACCCCAGACACTGAATTCAAAAAGCTACCTTCTTAAAGGAGCCCCAGATTATTTAGATCAGTCTATGGAGCAATGGATGCCCTAGGCATTGTCAAAAACAATAGAACAATCAGCCCACAATTGGTGGGGTAACAGCTAAGTATGGGGAAGGATAGAGAGAGCCCCTGTGAAACCATTGGTATTCTAAGGTGACCCGCTCACATGCCCGAGGCTGGGCCCTCTGAGAAGGAACACCAGAGGCTTCACACCGCAGGGGAAAGAGACATCACTACAATGGCCCAGCCATTCACTAAGCAAATAAACAAGCAAACAACAGTCACAACCCCCGGGGGGTGGGGGGTGAGAAACCAGTATCCACAGTTGCAATAGCATTGTCTAAAATGTCCAGTTTTCCACAACAACAAAAAATTACAAGATGTGCCAAGACATAGGAAAGTGTGACCCATACACAGGAAAAAAGCAGACGACAGAAACTACGGCTAAGAGGGACCAGATGTCAGATTTCACAGATAAAGATGTCAAAGTAGCCACTATACATATGTTCAAAGAACTAAAAGGAACCACGCTTAAAGAAGAGAACTATGATGACAACATTTCACCAAATAAAGAATACTGATAATGAGATAAAAATTATAAAAAGAACCAAGTGGAAATTATGGAAATGAAAGGTGTAATACTGAAATGAAAATCTTCACTGGAGGGGTTCAACAGTAGATTTGAACTGGCAGGATGATGAGCAAACTTGAGGACAGATGGACAGAGATTATGCAGTCTGAAGAACAGAAGGAACAAATAACAAAAAAGCAGGAACATAGGCTCGGAGAAATGGAGGACACCACTCAGTACACCGGCCTAGGCAGAATGGCACACGGGAAGGAAAGAAGAGAAGCAGAAGGGAAAATACACTAAGAAATAATAGAGGAAAACTTCCTAAATGTGATTCCCAGAAAAACCTCCCCGCCACAAGAAAACTGCATTAACCAAGGCAACGAGCTCAGTGAACTTCAGGTATGGTAAGTGAAGAGAACCACACACAGAAACATCATATTAAAAATGCTGAAAACCAGGGCGCCTGGGTGGCTCAGTTGGTTAAGCGACTGCCTTCGGCTCAGGTCATGATCCTGGAGTCCCGGGATCGAGTCCC